CATACAACAGTTCTCTTGGGAAAGTGGCGTATGATGGCTCTGCATTCACTCAATCCTTCATTGAGGCTTTGGACACACACACAGGACGTCTCTACCCTACATGCCGACATATTAAACAGTAAGTGTCTCAGCCTTTCATTTTGTGCCTATTTGCTGATATGTAACCTCTGATAGGGGTGAGAGAGAAAGGTGAGACCTCTACTCCATGGATGAATGGGAGTATGCTGGGCAGTATATCCCTGAGGGACCCTATCATGAGAGATGGTGTGAAGGCTCGAGAGAAGGCAGAGAGGGTTTGGGATCATGCTGATGCCATCCACAGTAAGACTACTTTTACCCAATGTCTCCCTTTTAGTGGTACAAACCCCGTTGCAAATGCCACTACGTATCTTCTAAAGCTGCCAATATCTTCTTTAGTAATCCTTTGTGAGCCTCGCACACCTTTCTCTTTTTCTCAAGTTGCCAATCTCTCCTTTAGAAACCATTATAAATTATAGCTCACTATATTTCTGTTCTCCTCAAGGTGTGTGTGAGCCTGTGGTACTGGAGGGCAGCAGCAGTGGTCTGGCTAAACTGCTGTCTCTGAGGCTCATCTTCACTGCTCCATTCACCAACGTTCTCTCTCTGAGAGTGGAGGCCAATCTAAAACGACTTGGCATCACGGCCTCTATAAAAGTGGAATCTATGGTAAAAGTGTGCTGGTGGAGTATAAGCTATGACACTGGCGTATAATTATGCATTACAGTAGACCCTCCAATAATAGACACTCTGAAAAAAGGACAATGTATATGTACCTCTCAATGAAGGGTGCACTTTGTGATCCACTTTTCAACAGAACTGCATTGCCCAATCATATTGGATTCCACTGTATAATTTTATATACTTTGTACATCTTTGTAGGTTCATTTTGTTTCCCTTTCTCCTCATGTTTCTCCTCATGTATGTGTGTATAATATACTAGTATGAGTATTAATTTTAAACCAGCGTGCATTGGTTGTTACATGTTTTCAGAGAAGTCAGGGTGTAGAGTGGGAGGAGGACGACACGCCAGACAACTCTCTCCTCTCCCAGTCTATCACTGTCAGGAACCTACAGAGACTCACTGTGAGTGGTTGACAGTCATTCAGTGTGTAGTTGAGTCTTTTACCCTGATGAAGGAACCCGGGAGGGCTCCGACCGAAACGTTGGTCTATCACGTTTCTCTGACTCTGGTGCAAACGAGACTTTGTTAGCTACTTTATTAGAACAAAGAAGCCTCAAACACGCTCTCAACTTTCTAACAATCTTTCACCTACTTCGCGAATCCCTTTTTGTTTAGTGTGTTGCGCTCGCTGGCCGATCGTGTTTCTGATGAAAAGATTAAACGGCATTCAGCATTCTGTAGCATAAACTTTCCAGATAATAGTAAATGAATTGTGTGCTATTATGTTGCAGAAGCCGCTCTGTGTGACTGTGAGTGTGACAGTGAGCTGGGCCTGACTCAGGAGATGTGCGTGCGGAGATGACACACACCTTCTCTGGACCTCTCCTCTCCCACCTCCTCACCCCCATATCCTGACACTCTGACTTCATTGTGTGTATATAACATTTCGTGTTTTGTCGTGGACATAATGTTAACATTAACACACATTGTATTTTGGTCACAAATAATATATTATCAGCTGTGTGAAATTAGTATATAGCGTCACTGCTGCATTAAAAATTGGTGAGCGAAGCGAGCCAACCTAGTCGTCGTCTGAATGCGGGATTGTGCTGAAAATGTATAATCTAGTATCAGCAATTTTGCCTTAAGTGTTGTGTTAGTAGTTGTTCCACTTTTTGACGATGGTTGAAATGCCCCAGACAGCTTGTGAGGTGGTAGCTACTGCACACACAAATGATATGACCTGCATAAGAATGATGTGTCGTTGTTAGGAATCTCCATCTTGCACCCCCACAATAATTATGAGCTCATGCTCCTGTTTAGTAACATGACTAGTTGGCAGGAAGTACAGGCAGAGTGAAGAATTTCCTTGCTTCCTTAGGAGGTAGAAGCAGTTAGTTCCATTTTACATAACACACAAAATGTTGTCTAAGAGCTACACACGTAATGGTTTTAGTGTTAGCTAAGTGGCTTACCGAGAGAATGCTACAGAATGCAGTAAGGGTCTTGGTGCCGCAAGGATCTGGACTCTCCAGCTCGTGAAGTGAGTCGCATCCCACTGGCCTGGCTCCCCACACACCAGCATAATAGGCAATGGCTATACCTCCTGCCACATACAACACTGTCAAGATCCCAGCAATGACTATGTCCTGATGAAATAATTATAATGCACATCACGAGGATCTAAATCATCACGAGTAAATAATCTTTTGGCTTACCGGTATGTAGAAAATAAGTGAGACGGTCTGAAACTCTTTCAGTTCCAGGCATCTAGCCGCAATCTGTGCCGCCACAGCTGCTATCTCCGTCAGTATGGCGAGGCAGGCCACGGCCATGAGGTACTTGAGGACGGTGCTAGTGGCGTTGTAGGCGGCTCTCAGCTCTGGCCTAACGCCATCAGAAGAGGTACCCGCCAAATCTTTACTCTCCAACGAACTGTGCGGGAGAGTCACGGCAGAGAAGGCCAGCACCCCCACAGCCAAACACTGCAAGTCACAAAATGCATTTGACGCTACTGCAACCATAGATACTAACTGCTGCATTAGCTATCATCGTTTTTTCGCATGATTCAGGTATAATAGCTAACTATGTAATGGTGTTTGTTGTTGTGTTACCGTGATGGTGATCCTCGTCGTGTTCTGGCAGCAAGAGGGCCAACTGCATATGTAAACCTGTTCGGTGTCGACGGTCGCCCAGCATCCTTCCCTGTCGTTTGCTGTAGAGGTAGACGTCGCGTAGTGCGTGACCTTTCCAACTGAAGAACCTGCAGTTTGCTCCATTATACACAGAAAATATCGGTAGGAGAGCGAGAACAGGTCTTCTTCATTCGCCATGCAGTGACGACGACAGCGATCGTTCCGCGCATGCGTGCGTGTGGGTAGAAAGATGGAGGGGCGTGGCTCCGCGCCCTTTGCAGTGCAGTTCAGTCATCTTCAGCACGCTAAAGCGGTTCCATTGCGTGGGGGCTATAAAGGGAGCGGCTCTTGGTGCTGTTGGTCGAATGGCGAGTGGAAAGCCCAGCCCACCACCGATCAAGAAGTCGCGCACGAGACAGCTCACCCTCGAGGAAAGTATGGCTGGGGCCACCGGCAGCACTAGCCGGCCTCGGGAAACTCCAACCTGCGACACTCCACCGCTGTTTTCAGACAGCGAGAGCGAGCAGCCCAGCAGTCAAGATGACAGTCAATTCTTGAATGATGATTTGCACTCTCAGACGTCGGCCACACTCTCCTACCCTGCTTCCCCGCAGGGAACCCCGCCCCCTGCCCCCCAGGGGGTCCTCCTGAGCCAAATTTCGTTTGGCCCCTCATGCAACCCCATCCTCCCTCCTCTCTCTTCCTCACCCTCCCACACTGTCACCTTTCACACAAGACTCCGCCCAGGTCATGCACCCCGTCCGCACCCGGACAAATTCTGCGACGTGTGGGACAGCAATCACGTGCGAAGCCCCTGCTCGTCACAGAGCCTCTACCCGGTCAAAACCAACACGGGAGAGAAAGTTCTCATGTCCAGATGGACACTGATCAGAGCCTCCCTATCTAAGCCAATAGCAAACTCCTATGACCTAGAAGAGGCTATAATGGAGTACAACTCTCGACAAGCTGGAAAGTGGTCATTTGGAGCTCTCCACGCTTACTTCAGTGAGGTAACTACAGAGGAAGAAAGTTCAGCTTTTTTCTCGTCTCTGCTCCCGAAAATGATCAGCCTAGCCCTGAGACTCCCGGAGTTGGTGACGCACGGGTATACCGCTGCTGAGGAGACAAGAGTCTTATAGTGTGAGTATTAGTCAAGAACAGGCTGCATGTCTGCTGGCAAACGGCTTTTTCTGCACGTTCCCCCGTCGAAACGCGTTCCACAGAGGTGCAGAGTTTTCCACCTACCCTTCGGTCAATTTCAACACTCTCTTTTCCGGGCGTCGCACCACCTCGATCCATCCCGTGAGAGTTGCCAAACTCAAGTGTCTCTTTCACTACTTTACTTGCGTCACGTCTAAACCTCCCACTGGCGTCCTCACCTTCACGAGACAGGTTTGCAAAGACCCTCCCCATTGGGACAAGTGCTCAGAGAAACTCTCAAAACTCCACCTGTCTTCCGAGGGAACGATAGAAGACGATGGACACGGAATGCTCCAGGTTGACTTTGCCAACAAACGGGTGGGAGGTGGGGTGCTGGGGAGCGGTGCCGTTCAGGAGGAAATCCGTTTCCTCATCTGTCCGGAGCTGATACTCTCCAGGCTTTTCACGGAGGAACTGCAGGAAAACGAGAGCCTTGTTATCACAGGGGCAGAGCGATTTTCCTCCTACAGCGGGTACGGCTCCACGTTTGAGTGGGCGGGGTCTCACACAGACAGCACAGCCCGGGATTCCTGGGGGAGGAGGGACATGACTCTGGTTGCCATGGACGCAATAGTGGTCAGAAACTCAGCTTCGCAGTTCAAACCGGGACTCATCCGAAGAGAACTCCTCAAAGCCTACTGTAGCTTTACGAGCACCGCCTCTACTCCATGTGGCCGACTGAGAGCTGTTGCCACAGGTAACTGGGGCTGTGGTGCGTTCGGTGGCGACAAACGTCTAAAGGCCCTTCTCCAGTGGCTTGCTGCCTCGGCTGCTGGTCGAGACGTGGTCTATTTCACGTTTGGTGACAAGGGACTCCGGCAAGACCTGCATGTCCTCCAGGAAGAGCTGGTGGGTCTAGGAGCCACTAGCGTGGCTGACGTGTGGAGAGTGCTTCTGACGTACCATCGACAGCAGAGCCCACAGCCTCCCCTGTACAAGTTCTTGTTAGAACAACTCGGAAATAGCACCACCATCTCTCCACCTAAATAGTCCACTAAGTTACACACTGATAATGTTTTAGTAATGCGTATTTAGCACATTTCATCATTAACCCTCGGCGCGCATGCGCAGCGAGGGTTACTGTAGTGTGTGTGTGTCGACGCTTATGCTTGCACTACAGGCTACGAGGCGGCCCATTAACGATACCGACGGCTTCAAACTACTCGAGCCTGAAAAAAAAGGGTGAAACGACTGCGTTCGAGAGCGACAAACTGGCACGGTCGCGGACCGCGTTGCGTGGCCCAACCCATCAATAAGCGGTGCGCATGCGTCGCGATCAACGCGGCTAACCGCGACCTGATCCGCTGGTTCTGTGTGTACCTTTGGGGCTCAGGAAGTCACACGTATCTGCTCCCGCATGCTATCAACTACTGTAGCTAGTCCGTGTCAGATACTCCGCGAGCTACTCAGTAGCAGGAGACCACGAGTAAACGCATATAATACAACTAATAGGCCCATCAATTAGCAGTATCGCGCGTGCGCAGTTCGCCGACTTTGGTGCTTTTTATTGTGTGGCAAACGTGTTAATATATATCTAGTCAAGAGTGATCACTCCAAAACATGATCTGATTTACACCATGTGCGTATATATAATAAGTCAGTGTTGCACTGTTATACTCAGAAGTCGAGGCCACTGCTATAATGAGAGGAAAGTAATTCACAGCTGCACATCCTCTGTAGATGTCCACTGCCGTCATATTAATCAGCATCCTGGGGGCACAGTTTTCTGTGGGCATCACTTTCGTGGGCATCATTTTCATAGCTGATGAGAGCTAAACAACCCACAGCTATAGTTGGTCATCTGCATTGATAACAAAGCCAGGTATTCTGAGAACTCAGGCAGATAAACTATGGTTGATAGAAGTTTACACAACCACTTGCATCTTTATCTATAGGCCCACCTTTCTTCGCCCACATCTACATCCTCATCTACACCACCTGCTAATCTCTGTTGAAAGTTGCCAGTGGACTACATACTAGCTAACACACATCAGTATTATAATAATTATACCTTACTTGTCACAGTGTGTCAGTTCCTATAGGGTAAAGTGATGCACACAGTAGTGTCCCCTTGTATTAGCTAAATGCAGCTACTAATCAATGTCATGCACAGTTGAAGCATCATTATCGACTCATAATATGCCACGGAATATCACCCTTAGCATCGTGGTGGCATAATTTTTCTTGCGGATGAAAGCTATGGGAAAATTATGGTGATAACAAGACATAATATAGGAATTTTTGGAGAAAGCGCTACTTTTGCCTGATGCAGAGGGAGCGTTTTTGGCGTATTATGGCTCAAAGCGTAGCGAGTTTGCTAGAATTGGCTATCCATGAAAATATTGCTAACTTACTGTCTTGTCCGGCCGGGCTTAGATACTTGACCCATTTCGCTTTATATCCTCTGTGAATCGGATCTATGGTGAAAATCATCCCTCCGATCCAGCCAGTCGAGTCCAGCCACACGCACAACTACGGCGCGCCGTTTGCGTCAAAACGAATGCGGTTCATCCGTAGTTGTCGAACAGGAGGCGATTTGGAGGCGACAATTCTTTTTTCAAGGCGACGATTGTTTGTCAAGCGACAGAATTCTGTGAAAAATCTTGGCTTGAGGCGGCGACCAGGCCCGGTCAGTCGACACTGCACTGCGACGATTTTTTGTGATCGGGTGGGAGAGTTGAAAGGTCAACTTTCCTAGAGTGCCTAGAGGGCGCCTGTTATTGATCGGTGCCTTCAAACGTCCCGCCTCTACTGGGTTTCGAGTAAGTTAACCTTTGAACTCTCCTACCTGGATCGCGAATCGACGCAAGTTTCGTGCCGCATATAACTGGTCGTCGCCCTAAATCCAAGATTAGTTTCCTTGAGAAGCTTTCGTCGCTTGATAAACAATCTTAGCCGTAGAAATTCGTCGCCACAAGAGAAGAATTGTCGCTACGAAAGGAAAATCGTCGCCCCAAAAATCGATTCGTCGCTCAGAAAAAGATTCGCCGCCACGATTACTACTGGGAAAAAATCGTTTTGACACAAACGGCGCGCCACCATACAGCATTTGAGATACAGCTCAGTCAACACATCTGAGCCCCTTTGGCTGAAATCTGACTACATAGATTGTCGCCGCCGCGCCGGGTGTGGGCACTGCGCATGCGTAAGCAATGATCATCCGTGCCGCTCTTTTGGTATTTCTCTTCTATATACTGTTGTTTTTTTAATCATGTCTTGTTGCTTCTACAATACCATCATTTGGAGCTGTCATGCTTACACACAGACACTGTTCATCAACAATTTACAGTCTTCAATTTCAAATTCCATTGACGTTGTCTTCCACGTCCTCTTTGTACACATTGCTGGCATAATCCCACTTGGCGTACAGCGCATATACTGTCCACACGGCCAAGAAAATTGTCAAACCCCCTCCAACAAGCCCAACTACCTGTATAGTAATAATTCATAACGGCTATCAGACAGAGATTTAGCTTACAGATAGACCTCCCAGCTGGGCAGCCAGAGTGCCCTCATTACAGGAGAAAGTGATTCCAGAAGATGAAACACCAAGATCGTCAAGGGTCTTCTTGATCTGGTCAATGAACCCCTCTGTACAGATCTGAGGTGGCTCACCCCACTGCCCTCCGTAGGCTCCAGCCGCTATAGCTCCACATAGGAAGAACACAGCCAGGACACCACTGGCTACTGCATCCTGTCACATCACACAGACTTTGACTCTATCACATGCATGTTATGCAGTAACATATTTGGTGACTTAATTAAAAGAGAGCAAGTAGTGGAAATCACAGTTGTTTTTATTTGAGCCCCACTGTGCTTTAGCTACTACAAGGACTTTAGGGCCCCATATGGCTTGCAGTTCGTGCACGGGGAGCCACGCTAGCTATCTTTTCAAGACCATGAGCCGTTTTAACTGTATATCGATCAATAACAGGTTTATCAGACTCCACACTTTAACAAACAAGGCTGGGCTCTGTTTGGCAAGTGGTATATATATATAAGAAAATGCAGCGATGCTGCAAATTAATATCTGCAAGTTGCACCATACTATGACAACAACTCTGCCATTGGAGATGAGACCTTAGCTACAAAATGTGAAGAAATCTGCACTGCACTTCAAACTATTGTGTACTCACCACAACATGCAGAACAAAAATCAGTGCGGTGCCACCTTTGAGGATGAACCTCCCAACAATGGTTGGGATCTGGACGATAAAGCAGACGATACTCAGGAATATCATGAAGCCTGCCACATTCACAGAGCCCCTTATGAGAGCCTGTGTCTCTGGTATGGGCGAGGTAGTAGCAGGAGCCATAAGTATGAGGTCGAGATATTGATTTGATTGGATTGTCCTGATGTGGATCGGTGACAAAAGAAAACTTATCACTGCCACTACCTATATAAATCGAAACAAATTCTACTTCTCTGCATGGATAGTAATGAGCTGCTTACCATTACTGCGGCTCTTGCAATTATCTCAATAATACCTCTCCACGTGGTGCAGAACATGTAGCTGCCTTGCACACGCACTCTGAAATCGGCGGGACCCCCTTTCTTATCGTTTTGAGCTCCCACGCCACTCCGTTCGAGAGGATTGGCGAGAGCGCCAGGCCCGATTTGATACGGTGGCGGCGGCGGGCCGCCTGGCTGCTGGTCATTGTAAAGTGGTGGCGCGGACCATGCTGGCGGTGGAGGATTGGGTCCAATAACGTGCGGAGGTAGAGCTTGCCCGTCTCCGCGTAGTTGATGCGGCGTCGGAGCTGGCACGGCGGGGTTTTGCAGAGAAGACCCTGGCTCCACAAGTGAGGCGTTGGAGCAGCTCCCATTGGTGAAAGAGGTTTTGGATTTCTCGGTTTGGGCATTGGTCGCCGTCCGCCGTTTACGGACGGCGGAGGTGCTGCAGGTTGCAGTTGGGTGGGCGATTTGACAATTTCGTTCGGCACTCCATTGTCTTCCAACACTGCCGACTTGCGGGGAGGTCTGTAGTCCGGTGTGGACATGCTCACAGCTCTAGCTACGAAACTGAGTCAGTTTGGATGTGTCAAAAGCTAAAATAGTGCGCACGTTCTACGAAATTCGCGCTGCATTAATTTGCGGCGCGGCGCTTCACGCATGCGCTACGCTCTAATACTGCGTGCGTATATAGCTATCCAAAAACTTATTCTCTTTCGACATAACACTCATTGTCAATTTTTGCCTCCTGCATATGAGCACTCCCGTCCAGTCTTCTGGATCTTGGCCAGTATGGCATCACTGCCGAGAGTGGAAGTGACTAGCACCTTCTGTCCCTCCATATCAATCTCAATATTAGTCACCTCTGAGAGCGGTAGAATGTGTACACACTACTACAACACATAGCGTGTTGGTACCTGGGAGTTTGCCTAGCACCCTGTTGACTGCTCCGGAGCAACCCTCGCAAGTCATCTTGACGTTGAACACGTGAACCTGCACGAGAGGAAGGGAAGGCGGCGTTCGGGGGTTCGCCCGGGGCCAAATTCACTTGATATGACCCACCTGAGACATGGCTGCACAGAAAAAATCACCACCTTGGTCGAGAGCCAAAATATACTATATAGCTATAGCTATAGAACAAGGGGCGATCCCGCTTATAGAAAAGGTGGGCGTAGCTAGTAGTGCTGACTGTGCACCACCTCGTGACCGGTTTGTTGGGAGTAACCCAAAGAGCTCATAGTGCCAGCGTACTACTACTGTCCACGGAAGACAATGGCGAACGTGTGGGGTGTCCTTGTGCTAGCCACGCTGATGGTGGCAGTGTGCAGCGCTCAGAGTCCAGACGAGCCGTGCGTGAAAGACGCCTACCCGCCAGACCCCAAGTCAGATAGCTTATTCTGTGTGTATGTCAGTGTATTAGTCTTCTGTCCTCGTCCCTGTAGTACTGAAGTACCAACCTACACAGTAGATCTTGATCAGGACCCTAAACTGAGGTGGCAAAAACTGGTCACCGACAAGAAAGCCGATGTAAGTGACACTTTTCTGTATGTACTAACTGTACTTTTTTCTCTTGGCATCACATGGTATTTTTTCTACATGTGTCCTCCTGTTTGTCAATGTGCAGATTGTGAAGCTGATTGACTATGTCCATTGGCTGTTGTCATTCATTGATCACGGAAAGCTCATACCAATTGAGGAGGATGTTTTTGTAAGTATTATATATGGCCTGTGAGCTACAACTTTTCTAAGCAAGCGTATGGATAGGGCGTGTCAGTTTTATGTATTTTAGCACATTTTGACATCACATCCTGACTATGTTATGTGCATGTGTGTGCTGTTTCATTTGGGGAGCTCAGGAACTTGGGGTGTGCATGTACATGTTATGGTGAAACCCCACCATGGCATCACATGACCCAGTTGATGGACGTATTTAACCCTCAGCGCACATGCGCAGCGAGGGTTACTGTACTTGGTTCGTAAGTATGTCTGTCGCTCTGTCTGTTACCACGTTTTCTGCCACCACACCCAACAAGGCAACAAAAGAGCGATACCAAAAGGTTATTAAGCACTACACTGGGTTGATTTTAAAGTTCGAGATTTTTGGAAATGTACTGTGTTCAAGAGTTATGGCGTGAAAACAGACTCAATAGTTATTATGCAAATGAGCACGCTGACCAGAACCACTTGCATTGCATACCTTAGAGGCACCAGAAGTTGCAACGCGGGGCAAGTATCGACTCCCGCATGCTATCTAGTATATACTGTAGCTAGCCTCTCAGAGCACTACAAGTGACCACGGCAACAGCGTAACTAGTCCCAACCCCTCAATTAGCGGAACGGGCCTGTGGATGTGTACGGAGTATCAACACGCGCGCACATTTACGCGAGGTGCCTTTCATTTATTCGTGTGCTCTGTACGTGTGTGTACATTGCAGGGTTTGCTGGCAGATAGTCTCCCTGCTCCGTATGGTGACGAGATGAGAGGAATCAGCGAGTCCAGTGGCCTGCCTCTAGGTCAGTTGAGGTTCTAATTCTTGTCTGTGTGTCTATCGGTTGACACTCTAGCTACATTTAAGTATGCAAACGTGAATGATGCCGCGAGACAAAGGCAAAGCAACTACACCAGCTTTCCCTGGGTGGGATCCGAACGCATGACACTCTGCAGAGCACTCTTACCCACTGAGCTACCAGGGGCAGGTAGGGGGCTCAAATCTACAACACAATACAATACAAGGCAAAGGCAGGCAAAGGCAAACCTAAACTAACTGTGCTACTATGGTACAGAACACCCTCCTACATCTATACACAAAGGCACATTTGGCTTCCTTTAACTTTTCCTTTTCTGAATGCTTGCATGTAAAATTTGTGGAGTGAGCAAGTTAGTATAGCTAATGCTAAGTAGCAGTTGGTGGCTTGAGCCTAATGAGAACTGGCTGACCTCCACCATGTGGTGTTTAGGAAATATTTGAAGGAGAAGCTTTAAACACTACCAACAGAAGGAGCTAGGCTGAGTCTGAGTTAGAGCCGACACTAGCACACCAGTATGTTGGTTTGTGCACATGTTTTCACTATGTACCAATGGTTTATCATTGAAAGACAACCAATACGTGTAAAAACGATCATAGACGCTGTGGGTATGAATCCACACAACCTGCATTCGTATAACCAGTAACTGTGTTTATCCTTTCACTTTGGTTGTGAGTTTTGAAACCGTTGTGTGTTATGATCACCCTCTCTCTCTCTCTCTCTGCAGGAGATGTGGTGTTGTACAACGTGTTTTACGAAATATTCAGTGTCTGCACCTCCATCGTTGCCGAGTCGGAGAACGGGACCCTGATGCACGTCAGAAACCTTGACTTTGGTCTTCTAATGGGGTACACCCTTTAATCATTGCCATACTTAGAAAGGCTTTTATTTGTGGGAGACGCAAACCCAAATACAAGCCCCTCCCTGAAGCTACATAATATGTTCCTAGACGGCTAAATTACTACCATGTTTGCATGCTATTGAAGGAAAAGGCAACGTGTTGGCTGGGAAACCTAGAACACTATAAACTTGAGTTGAAATTTCGCTCTGAGTGTTTGTCCTTCTGTGCCTCCTACTACTTTTTCATTGATAATGCGTCAGTCAAGCATTGCTCAATGCAATGTGACTTTCTCTTTGACACACACACACACACACACACACACACAGGTGGGATATTCAGAATGATACGTGGCCAGTGGCTGAAATGCTGAGACCTATCGTGGTCAATGTGGAATACATGGTAACCCAACTACTATTGTGTTCTGTTCATTAATACTGCTCTTGCACGTGTCATTCTCCCCAACAGAAAGGAGGCAAGCTGGTGTACAAGGCTGTTCACTTTGCTGGCTACATTGGAATCCTATCAGCCATCAAGCCTGTTAGTACTCACAGCATGCCCACATTCGAGAATACGGTAGTATTATTTTAGGATTGACAATTATTCTATATTTTCTGACACTATATAGGATGTGTTTACTCTCACAATGAATGAAAGGTTTGGAATTGACGGAGGCTATATCGGTGAGACACATACTGAGAGAGCGCAAACATACAATAATCATTTATAAAGTGAAGGGGCCATTCTGAAGGTGTTTTGTTTTTTTGGCATATGAATCCAGGTATAATACACCTCATGTTTATCCAAGCTGTGTAGCAGTTTAAACTACTTTCGACTGCATAGGCCTGTGACCTGACACAATAGCCCAAAACAAAATTTTTCTCCGATTCAAACACTGAAAGCACTGAAAGCTGTGTATCGCTGCTCCTGGTTAGTACTAACCAGGAGCAGCCGAAAGCCGATACACGACTTTCCTATTCTAACCAGGAGCAGCGATACACAGCTTTCATATTCGCAGCGATACACAGCTTTCAGTGCAACACATTTTCACCACCAACCCACCCACCAGCTTAGTTAAGGGAAATAGTCTTATGGTATGTTTGGCAGCTCTGGTAATTCACCTTGTGGATTTCAAATAGGAAGCTCATTCATGTGTCAGAGTAGACCAGCTCTGTAAAATGGGACAGATGATGAAACTAGACTCAGAGGCTGTAGTAAGGTCAAGATCCCCAGGGACGTTGAATAAACTTTCCTAACCTCTGTAGTGATTGCATGTGTACCGTACTCATAATGTATACACCAACTTCCTGAGTAGTATGGGTGCATGAGTGAGGTAAGTTACCTCAGATGCACGCATCTCGCTCCCGCTCTCACGCCTGGTATTTTGAAGGAATATTGGTACGTGTGGGCATGACAGAAGGAGGAAGAAACTAATGCTGGACCAGAAAAACTGGACCTGTGTGATTCGAACCCACACCTCTCGCTTTTAGGGCAAATGCACTACCACTGTGCTATGTGAGAGCTACAGATGATAGGCAGTGGAAATGAGCTCTTGAGTGGGCAAGATCATATGATTTTGTATTATAAGTGCTGGTATGTGGGGTGAAATAGATAATCTGCTGTCGGTTGTGGGATAGTGTTGGCTATGGTGGATGGACTGCAGGTATGTTGGAGTGGCTGGCAGGATACAGGAACGAGTCTTGGATGGGGTTCCTGACCAGAGATACCCTGGAGAAGGCCACCAGCAAGACACATGCACACACGCACGTACACACACACACACACATGCACACACACACCAACAAACAAAACTCCTACTAACAAATGGAGAAGAGTGGTTTGAAGAAGGCACAAGAGAGTCTTGGAATGAGACTTTCCGTCACCTTTGCTACACTGTGTTGTTGTTTTTGTTGTTAGACAGCTAAAACTGGGACAGTATCAGTAGTCACTTCATTGGGGCCTCATTATTGAGTGTGTCACTGCAGCTATTCTGAGGCAGTGGACATGTTGGCCAACACTCGTATGTTGGCTCCAGCCTACTTCATTGTCGGAGGAACAAAGAGTGGAGAGGTGTGTAAGTACACCATAATCCTTATGATTGTGAGAGTTTGCACGCATCGGCATCTCTACAACAAAGTGCAATTCTGCATTATGCCTAAAATAGCTGTCTGCCCTTACTCCACGGTTTAGAAGTTCGCACGAAAGCAAAATGAGTCTGAGTATACAACAAGAACATTGAATCCAAATACTCGGACAGCCTTCTGCTTACCTTACTGCCTTGCTGGTATATACAAAAATGTCTAAACCATTTAGCACGTGTGTGTGCTACATCCACAGGGTTGTGTCATCACTCGGACGCTAGAGAAGGCACTGGACATATGGAAGTGAGTTGAGTTGAAATCCTGTTGGATCCGTTGATAATTAATGTCTGTAGATTTTCATTTTTGTGTGTCTGATGCAACATGTAAATGTGCCAATGACCAAAATAAAGTAAAATGGTGTGTGTTATTGAAGGGGTTGTTTTGTGTGTCTCGCAGTCTGGATGTGTCCTCTGGGAGGTGGTACCTGGTGGAGACCAACTACGACCATTGGAAACAACCTCTGGTCATTGACAACCGCAGGGACCCTGTGAGTCTTGATTATGCTTGCCACACATACATGTGAAAACTACGAGGTAGAAAGGGTAAAGGCACAACAAACAAATCAACTACACCTAGGAGAGCCTCTTTTCCAAGGAAAAAGAAGAGCTGTCCTGGGTGGGATTCGAACCCACGACACTCTGCAGTCTAGGCGAGCGCTCTACCAACTGAGCTACCAGGTACATGTACAGCATGTAAGTATCAATTAATAAGCCTGCGACAGGGGCCGCCCATGTGAAAGCAATAGACTTCAAAACTCATGCGTGCCACGGTCCAATAATGAGTAACTCACCAGCACATGCCTCACATTAGAGCTAGCCATGACAGCTGAAGTCTTTCTTGTGTTCTCGAACTGACCTCCAATCTTTTCCGCCACTCCATGTGGAACAGGCATGGTCGTGTGTACGGCACTTGACCATCGCTCAAAATTATGTATTGCAAAGTTGTTAACCAAAACCGTAGGGTAGTTTGTTTTCTGAGTTTGTCTTTCCTCGGGAATAACTTTCAAATCTCGTCGTTTGGTGGGTTTGTTTATGAATCTCATTCTGACCAAGAGCCCTGTGTATCTTTACACCTGCACTTACTACGTGTCTGGCCACATGTCCATACACTGAGAGTTTGTACGGTTGCAGAGTCTGGTGTGTGGTTTTCTAGAAGAGTCCCTCTGCTATGGATTCAGAGAAGATAACTTTCAGATCTTGTTGTTTGGCATATCGCAGTTCCAGCTCCAGTATCAATGTTATGACCAGCATATAGGATGCACGTGTATATCTAATATGAGAATCCCATCGTTTTTTTCATGGATATAATTATTGTGCTCTCTAGCTATTATGTGAACCAGATCACCTATATATACCAAGAGTTCATGACATGTATGCACTTCTTCTTTTTCCTTCAGGCGAAAAAGTGTATGAACGAAACTGGCCGAAGTGTAAGTGTGTTTGTGTATAATTATTCGCGCTATCATCGGGATTTTCTTTTCTGCAGCTTGTGTCACTGGGTAGCATGTTCAATGTCTTATCCACCAAACCTGTCCTGAATAAGGTATATACACATCACACACACACATGTATACATCTCATAAGTGGCATAATAGCAGTGAAAAGGTGGTTATTTCTCTCCAGTTGACGACCTACACAACTCTTCTGAAAGTTGAAGGCTACATGAAGACATACACGCGGGAGTGTCCTGATCCCTGCTGGCCTTTCTAGTCACCCCAAAATATACTGTAAAACTCTGTGTTTATATATATGAGTGAAATTTTTATTCTGGTGTGCAACTCCGTGTGTGTGGTTGAATATTGGTATATACCCTCGTGGTTGATTGTGGCTGATACGCTATCTGATGTGCTATGCTAAAGGGAAATGAATTGTGGTGAAGTTTAAAAACAAACAGAATAGGCAACGTTGAAGTTTGTGCATAAGGCCATCTGTACAGAGTTAGTTGTAAAATTGTAACGCGCATGCGTGTGTTTTTGACTGACATGAAGGGGAGGGGCTGGTTTTCAGTAGACGTAGTGCGAGTCTCTCCACCCCACTGCACCGTGAATGCAAAGCTGTGATGGTAAGTCTTTCTCGGTGATAGCATGCGAGTTGTGTCCCGCGCCCCACTCTAATATCATACAGAGCCAGTGGACGCTGCGCAGACTGGCGCGCCTCGTCCTGACGGTGGCCAGATTGTGCACAGCTTACCGCCTCATCAACAGCCCAGTCACGTCTGGAGTACCGGGGTATGCCTACTGCAAACAGGCAATCACAAACAGAGAGATAGGATGCGTTTATGCCTGAAATTAATCTAACAAGGCTCGCCTAGCTGCAATAAATAGAACGTCCCTCTCTATAATATCCTAGGGCAGGGTCGCATGCGCTGCTCTCAAAGACCCAGAGCTCTAGCAAGAGGCAGACACCAAGTCTGCTGCAGTTGGCCCAGCCTGAGAGCTGGCACCAGCTCCACAGAGACATACAGGGAAGACTTCGGCAAGGAAGGAGCTCTCCCCCTCACCCCCTGTCCCCTCAGATCTCTGGAGTGAGTGCTACTGGAGGCCTTAGGGAGAGCCAGGTCAGCAACAAGCAGGCATTTGACAATGAAAGGGAATGACTTCTCTTTAGCGGGGGGCATCTTCATTAAACTTGTCTGTTCTATTTTTTTTATTATTACCTACTTGTACAGCCGCATATACCAGTGTTGTCTGAAGCTGTGAAGAACACACTGAGCAATTCTCCATGGACCAGAACACACAGACAAGTTCAACAGGTAGCTATAATATTACTGACCAACCTGACTACAAGTGCTCGTAATTTATCGTGTGTATGTACGTACAGGCTGCTGTGGAGCTAAGAGTGTGTGGTGATTTCCGTGACTACCCAGAACCAGTGCAGTACAGCCTGTGCAGAGTTGGGTGGCATCTCAGGTATGTATAGACAGTGTGTGTAGATGTAACACGCAACCATTATTCCCTCGTTTGACATGCACAGTCTCGATCAAGGGAGAGTGATATTCAGGGAGCATGCTCCTGCATGTTGCTTCTACTTTATCATCTCTGGAAATGGTCTGTGCCCATGCATAATGGCAACAACGCATGCACTACTCATGGAAGTCTGTATGTCACGTGTATAGTTCTGGTGACTAGTGACCAAGAGCCGGACCACACATTGACTGCTGGGACCTCGTTTGGGGTGAGCCCTGTCATTATCTCGACATCTTACTCAGTATACATTGTTCTCCAAAGGATGAGTCTATCATTGACAAGACTGTCAGGACCATGACATGCTCTGCTCTGACACCTGTGGAGCTATTGGTCATTAGTAAAAGTGTAAGTGGGTCGCTAGAGTGGAGGAAAGTGTTCTCTACGCAACGCCCGTGGCACACTGTACTGTTGCAGGATTTTCTTGATCTCTCTCTACGCCAATCCCGGATCAGTTACCAGAAAACAAAGCACTTGGCTTTCTGCAAGTGAGCCACATACACAAACATGTACGAAATGACATTGCTGTCGTTTATTATGCAGATCTGTCAGTGTGTCTTAGTCACTGGCCACTGCACCTGCTAGAGTCACATCCAGATCAGTGTAAAGTGGCTAACTTCAAGTGAGCCTGTGTGAAATTTTTGACAATTACTTTTAGTTGTAGACAGTTCGTAGTGTACTGGACTTCCATTCACTATTAAGCTCATTCTTTATGCAGAACCAATAGTGTGGTGGTCAAGGACAGCACCAAGAACCCATGGGTGTACATCATCATGACGGTTAGCTTGCGGAACCAGCATGGTAGCTAATAGGTGCATGGTATAATCTTTCTCTGGTATATATATACACCACGTCCAGGGATCCTGCAGGGCCGTGAAGAGATTTGTGTATGGCAGTGAAGATCAGGGTGAAAGAGTACAGAAGAGAAAGAGCTACTCTAATCCTGCCGGTGAGCAGAGTACTGATAACCTACGGACATACTAGGATTGTATGCGGCATTAATGGACATGTATGTTGTGGCATCACAAGGCAAACACAGGATCCAAGGACGCCTAGGACATTTTCCATGAAGTAATTAGGCTTCCCCGAGTGGGATTTGAACCAACAAACTCTGCTGTCTAGGCAGAGTGCTCTACATGCATGTAGCTAGCCAACAAAGAGCGGAGAAAGACAACTTCACAATAGCTTACTAGTCCCCAACTACAATGATTACCTGCCCTCTAATCAATCTAAAAACCCTTTGTGAAATGGCAAACCGTGACATTTTATCCTTTGAACGTTCTCTGCTACAAAACCACATCTCACCACAGATGTCAGTAAACTAGCAGGTGAGAGTGCAGGAACCAGACAACCACCAGCCACAGGGATACTGGTAAGAGAGACTGATGATACTAAACACTCCAATACACCACCAGGTCACTTTTCGGTTGCAGCGACAACAGATGCTCTTGTCACAGAAGAAGAATAAGCAACCCCACCTTGCCCAAGGTTGCTAAGACCAACTCGTAAACTCTCATTATTAAAGGGGCTCACTCCACAGGTTATTCTCCTGAACAAGTGCAGAGAAAGGGACATCGTCTTCCACACACAATCTCTACCCCTCAAGTAACATAATTATTCATTATACCATGAGCGTATGCTCAAAAATCTTTCTTCAGATCTCTGTGAGAAGACCTTTACCAAAGAAGCAATTCCTACTCCAACTACAACTCTTGAAGCCCAAAGACACTTTTGTATGTCGTCGTTTTATCACGCAATAATGTAATTATGATACCGAGACCACAGGGTTTATCGTCGTTTGTGTATGAAGATGAGCCAAGCGTCACACTGGTAAATTACTAATATGCACACAAATACACACACATTCATACAATAATATGTAAGTAATCTCTATCTGTATATACCAGTGTCTTAAAACCTCATCCACATGTATATACATAGGTGAGCAATGGAGCTGAGGTGGTAATGCTCTCCAAAGAGTTTCTACACTTACATTTCAAAGAGACAACTAGAGGCAAACTAAAACATCAGGTGAGTATTATTAATCACCATTGGGATATAAAAACACTTCATAACTGTGCATAGTTGGCAGCCCGTTACGTACACTTGTTGACTAAATAATTTTTTATGTCCTCATGGTAATGGTATTGTTACTTATTTTGTAGATCTCACCGTTTCCGTCACAAGAAACAATGCTCAAGAGAATCAGGGAACGCTACTCGTAGAACACACACAATCATCACACACATGCAGAAGACACATGTAATCACACCCCAGGAGAAGAAGTTAAAGGACCAAAAGTACATAAAAACTGCATGTATGTTACAATCCAGATGCGAAATAATATAGTTGCAAAGAAAGCCACCAACATGAATGAAAGAGTGCGGGCTAGGCAGGATCGTCAATCGAGAAGTTATCAAACTGTGCAGGGTAGTAGCCTCCCGTGCCCAAGGCCACAAACCCAGGACGATTGTTCTTTGCCTCAGCACTGTCTGACACACTAGCTCCTCTGTTCCCACTCACTCTCACACTGACCGATGTGTGCTGTGTGGATGCAAAGTATAATAAATAGCTATTTGGTATAATGAACACATTCTTTGGCACGTGGGTGTGAGTGCAAAGTGAGTGCATAGAGCAGTTTTGCAAGAGAATTTGTGTGCTGTATGACATTCAGATGACTAGGTATATACATAGGTGTGCTTTCGCTTGCCAATAAAGGGCTGCATCTCATATTATGTTATGTGTAGTGGCCACTGGAACCCAGTCTGTTGAACTAGACTTGTGTGCTAATTCAGTGTCCATGCAGTGAAGCTAGTGACAGATATACTAACCTCAACTTTAATCTGGAGTGTATACCACTGTTGCAGTAGCACAGAGAATCTTCCTGACTTCAACTGTTCATTCCCAGCTGAAACATGAAACAACAACTATGCAGGAGCCAACGAAACTGTTTAACTTTCCGCCGAGGTCTGAATTGTTGGTTCGTGTGCCATAAAGCAACACCAGTGACTTTTATAGCTTGGGAATTGTATGTACGTATATTATAGGCATAATACATACATACCCAGGTCAGTGGTGATGTTGTAGAAGCCAGCGGAGTCAAGCCAGAGGAAGACACCAGTGGCCTTGGCCACCCCACACCCTCCCTGACTCATCCTGGCAGCCAGGAACACTGCAGTCCCCTCCCCCTCCAGTAGCACCGACACCTCTGCAAACACTCTGTGCCTATGGCGAATATGTAGTTGAGTATAACCTCATTAATATGACCACTTTTATAGGTGGAACCCTTCTCTAAGGACACCCCTGCATGACCCCTAATAGGACACCTCCCTAATAAGGAACAGTTCTCGCATGTAATTTAACCTGGAAAATAAGGAATATGGACTTTTGTCCAATCAGTGTTCAAATTAGAGGGGCTCCACAGTATAGACCCACACACTACCTACATTGATGGGGCTGCTGTTAGTCAGCAGAGTCATATATACAACAGACCATGATGAGTTTCCAATGATGGTGTTGGGTTGGCCTGCTGCAGGTCGATAGCACCAGTTGATTGGCTCAGTCGGAACAACCTACAGCAACATAGAGGGAGGTATTATGGAGGGGTCATATGTAGTAGTCAGCTATATAGGGCGCCAATCAATTCCTATCCATGGAGAGAAAGAGGTATTATACATGCACAGAGCAGCCTGGATATACCACATCTCGTGGATCAGATGGCTTTGAACTTTCGCATAAGCAGCCATCGAGATACACAGGGTTTTCCTCACTTTGTTACAATTACCTGTCTCATTACTTTCCCATGGGAAGGATCACTGGCATTGGTGATTTCAAACACACCAGTCTGATCAGCAAAGAACTGCGCCTCACTGTAATCAGGGTAACCTGTGAGAGAAATGGAGTAACAATAGCGGGACTCTTTCAAGGGAGCAAATTTTTGCAATTCAGTTGAAAATTTTCAGAGGAAACTTCTGTGCCCAACCACGAAATTTCATAGAAAATATTAGGCTGCAGATAGTTCTCACAAACTATGAAAAACTCTTCCACAAAAGATTACTAGAAGGAATGCAACACCTTTTTAGCGAGGGAAGTGAGCAGTTCGATATTTTTCGTGTGTTTTAGTGCGTATTTAGAATCACGTAAACATTACGGTATGTGTTGGTTGATCCACCGTTAAATATCTGCATAGACGATTAGATGGGCTTGCTTGACTCGCCAATGATTGATGTGATGTATAAAAAGAAGAGCACTAATCGTCAAAGTCATCAGAGTAGGGAAGGGGGAAGGGGGCAGAGGGAGGGACGCTGGGAAACGAGCCTTTCTTCTGACCAGTGAGTGTAGAGAGAGTCATTACAGTGTCCACTGGCAGAGTCACTGAGAATATCCCATCCTTCACCTATGTATGTATTATCAATAATGTGTTTGGTGGCCCACATGTTGTGCTGTAGCTACCATCACAGGACTGGCTTCCTGAAAGTACTCTGACACCTCTCCGCTGCCGTACTTGAGAGATGATATCCAACAGTTGAGCTCTGTGACGTTTCCCTTGAATCATAAATTAGGTATGAAGTGGGATTACACCCGGACATTTTTTTCAAAAAGAACACTGGGGCTGCACTCTAGCTCTTATAAGCTAAAAGGGCAGCTCAGCAGGCAGGGCTCACATCAAAGTGTGCAGCACAACACCCTTATGCAAAGGCAAAACCGTCAGTCATTCAGTGTAAATATGACTCGTAGGCTTAAAGCATAATGTAGCTGAATGCCACATGCCTGTATATACCAGTATGTATTATACTATATACTTACCAGACTGCCTTTCAGTTGGAAGGTGGCTGTTTGATCAGTGACATTGTAGGGTGGCAGATCAGGCCTCACACACACTGAATGGTTGCGGGTCTATAGCACATCTATAGTAGTTTGTTTTACCTGATAAACTTATATCCATACCATGGTTTCAATGATGATGGAGAAGTCGTTGGTCTTGAGATCATAGAGAGTGACATAGCTACCTCCACTGGCCAAATGGCCAGCTCCGTAGCCTTGTTTCAGGTAGTAGTAACCTATCTCACTGAACTGAGTGGTGTGGGCTGGGGGAACAAGTTTAGGGAAGAACGTGGGCTTAGTGCTATATTACAGGGCTGAACAAATTGCACATGCAGAGTGAGAGTTAGCAATCACGCTGCAAGAATTTACCAGTGATCCAGATGGGACCCATGACCTCATAGTGACCAGACCATGGCTCAGTGGCTGTCATCAGACCATCTCTGAAATACGGAAGTCCACTGTAGTAGCTGGCTATCAGGTTCCAGGCTATGGTACTGTGGGAGAGATGTACAAGCTCAACTATGCAACTACGTCGACCGTGAGAGCAAAATTCCCATACTAAGTCAGCTCCTTCCATACTGCGCTCTCAACTGAATGCCAAAAGTTTATTATGTGTGTGATTTCATACGTCATATCGCTTATACACTTTTCATAATATGAGAATTACTTCATAATCTCAGTGAATTACCTTGTAATGTTTCCGTTGACATAATTCTGGTTTAGAATCTGTGGAGAGAAGCTGTGTATTAGCAGACTTTCTCCCAGTGTTAATATAATGATTCCCCGCACTCACCCTGGCCCAGCAACCTGCTCCTACATCGTCATTGAAGGTGCTGTAGTCTTCAGAGGCCCACAGGGGTTTATGTGTCCTCTCGGCATAGCTATCACTGTATGTCCCTGGATAGTGAGCCCTGCAGAAAATAACATCTGATTAGGGATGATGCAAATTGTACGTAGAGTAATAAAACCAGCTTCTGTCCAGGGTAGAACTCTAGAGCTCCAACACACAACTGAACTACTACAACCGACAAAAAGTATAGTCTTCCCATTTCCCCTAAGTATACAGAGGAACCCTTCTCTAAGGACACCCCTGATGGACACCTCTCTATGTTTTCTTTCCCCAGAAGCAGAATAAAACTCGGAAAGTTACCTCATTAATACGAACACTTTTTCTGTCCAATTAGTGTCAGGATTAGAAGGATTCCACCCAAGTGTTCATTACCTAGCCAGCAACATCATCACACATCGTGCATTTTAACTGACCCAATGATACTTATGGATGCATTGAGGTCTGGATCTTTGAGCATGTTAGCTGCAATGCCCTTGAACCTGTCATCACTGGCCACAATCTGCACTGATGACAGCCCACTACTGTCCAGGACATGCCGCAGAGTCTGTGAGAGAAAACATAATATTCTTTGCAGTTGTAATGATTAGGTGCGTAGCTATACACAATATACCTTTATATACGTTATGTTGAAGTGTTTCTCATTCCAAATCTGAGAGTAAAAAAGTGACAGACACTGCAAAGTACAGTATAATGCTATATACACTGACTCCAATATAGTTGATGTCAAGGTTGTAGTGCTGCTTGGCCCCCGGTCCACTTGACAATGTAGTCAGCAGTGATGGCCGGGTAAGTGTACGGACTCCCACTCCATTGCCAACCTATGTGGATATCACCAGGGAACAGTTTGAGCTGTAGGTTGCAGCAGGATGTGAATTCAGCTGACCCAGGCAGGGAAGGCCCAAGGTAGACCATACAACTTGATATCAGGGTTTCTCTGGAAGCAACAAGTGGGATAACGCAATTATAATAAAAAAGACACCTTGGGGACATCGAAAATGTCCTTTATGGCAGAGGCGCCCCTCATTCAGAGGTATTAGTATGGGGCAAAACCTGTCCTTTACACAGAGGTATCCTTTATTCATAGGCCCTATTTAGAGGTTAGGCTGTAATGTTAATGATCCAGTAAGATCTTTTGGACATGCCTTTTTGGCTTCAGTCATGAGCCACCACTCATAGCCTCTCTGATAGTTGAAGTCATCTTTACTGTGCATGTGAGACGACTCAGTTCCGTCTGTGGTAGATTGCAACACATCTTCAAAATAATATTTCAGTAACGAAAGGAGTGACCTGTACTCTGAGCATCTCCTCCAATCTCCACCTTGAGAATCTGGAGATCTGCTCCAAACTGTGGCTATTAGGAATCAAAGGTATAGCTCTACAGTAGAACTTCCGGTAAAGGACACAATAGAAAAAAAATCTCTCAACACTTTGTGGTCCAAACTGTCATCCTATATAGTATATACATTTTAATCTCCAGAGAGAGGGTGATGATGACCTTATGGCCACAAGTGCCCACTATTTACTATACTAAGTAGATGCATGTGCATTATACTGACTACCCATCACCCACAACAATAGGCCAGTTTACTACTCTATGTCACCTTGAACAGTAAATCCAGTATCTGGTCTCTCTGAGGAGCCTTGTAACTCACGAGAAGACGAGAAGTGGCCTAAAATGTATGGTAATCTGAGAGTTTGGGCAGAGTGACAACTAATGAACTACCCCTCCGCCACTCAGTCCTCCGATACCGTCGAACTGCCTTCCCAGACCAATACTATCGTCCAGGACGTAGGTCTGCGACCCAACACGAGACAACTGACTCGCAAGAGAAGACAGGAACAGAGCTAGCGCGAGGAACATCGCGCAGTCCAATGCGCATGCGCAGCACCCCAGCAGCCCCTCCCCCCTTACGAAAAAATAACTACAGCAAGGAAAAAAAGGCCATGTTTATCTGATTCTTACCCTTGCTTATAATCAAACAACCCCTACACCACACAATAATTTCCCATGACTTGCAGCAAGGTGATTACGAAAGCGTAACTGACGAACGCGCGGTTTACCCACTCCTCAGCACTCCACTCTCTCACGCATGCGCACAAAAGGAGGGGGAACCAGACTCGACTGGACTCGAAAAGATGCTGCTGACAACTGTTCTTCTGTGCGTCGGCGTCACCACAGCGGCCGATCGCGGCGGCGGTGGACGGGAGCAGCCCAGCCCTCTCTCAGTCCTGCTAGTCGCTTCCCCGTACGCCGGCCACGTCATTCCGCAGCTAGCCCTCGGGGAAGAGCTGATAAGGAGAGGGCACAGCGTCACGTTGGTGTCTGGTGCTACCAAACTCATTCAGAGGGAAACAGAGCGACTCAATATCACACTGTGGGGTATAGGCGAGGACTTTATCACGACTGAAGAGGTGAGAGAGAGATTCGGAAGAGGAGGAGCATTGGATGCAATGACAACAATACTCGATATGATGACTGATTTCCAACAGAGAGTTCTCAAGACTATCGATAACTCGGCTGTAGAGTCCTATGATATCATGGTGGTAGATGGACTGTTTTCCACTTTCTCACTGTGTTTCTCGCACAAATGGGAAATTCCCACAGTCAACCTGTGGCCTGCACTTTTGCTATCTCCATTTGACATGCATGCCTGGACTCACCCACTGTATTCGACTGACTTCGGTGACAATCTAAGCTTCTTCAAACGCCTCGTTTCATCTGTCATACCACCTCTGACTCGAGTTGTCTTAATGCAATTACTGCCAAGATATTTCAGCTTTCTCGACCAGATCTGTGCCAATGTAAACATCTCATTCTACCAAAGCCTTTACCGTGCAGACTATCTACCCCAAATAATAGTCTCAAGTATCGGTTTCGAGTTCCCCGTGTTCTACTACCACTGACAGAGTATGTTGGTCCAATCATCTCCCAGTCTCCTACCCCACTCCCACAAGACCTGGCCCACTGGCTGGACCAGAGAGAGCCTGGCTCCGTGCTCTATGTCAGTATGGGCAGCACTGCCATACTAACAGGGGATGAGGCCCAGAGTATAGTCAGTGGAGCAGCCGAGGCCAACCTCAGTGTAGTGTGGAGTCTGAGAAAGAGCAACCACGCTGTCCTGGAGAACCTGGTCTATGACTCTGAGAGAGTTCTAGTAGCTGACTGGGTGCCCCAACTGACGCTACTCAGACACCCCAGCATTCACTCCGCACTCCTCCACGGAGGACTGGGTGGCGTACAGGAAGCCCTCAGCTGTGGAATTCCAATCGTCGTCGTCCCTTTTTTTGGGGACCAGCTGGACAATGCAGTTCGAGTCCAGGCCCACCACTATGGGACAATGATCCACAGACACCAGTTGACACCTGAACTAGTCTCCCAGAGTCTGAGGCTATTTGACTCTCAGCTCTACCGAACTTCTCTTCAGAGGATATACAGGAAAGACGGAGGAGCTTCCAGAGCAGCTGTCTCCTGGAGTTCTACAGTGAAGTTGGCTACCAGCACTTGGTTCCATCGTATGCCAAGTACAACTGGAGCTGGGTTCAGTTCTACAATGTCGATGTCTACACTCTACTAGCTCTGGCAGTACTGCTACCGTGCTTTCTGGTCTATAGACTCATTCGCTGTTGCATCCATAGTATCTTTCCACAATTAAAGAAAAAACTGAATGACCACCAGGCTCTGTATTTTGCTTTTCATTAACGAATGCCTAATGTCGTCTACATGCCTGATATATAGCTTATGCAACGCTCCAAAACGGTGTGCCTGTTGAGGAAACTCCCGTATCCAGGTCACTCAATCTGTGACTGGTCTTTTTCAATATAATAATGGCTTGACGACTGGTACATTGCTAAATGAGTGCATGTGTAAGCTAGAGTAAAATGTTTGTGTCAAGGGTTTCAGCCTATTCCTTACACTAAACAAAAATGAACTTATCCACCACACCCATATGCCCCAAAGCATCCAGATAAGCAGAATCCAACACTGCTCAATTTATGAGCACGCATAAAATGGCATACTTAACAACGTGCTATTACCTATAAATACAGAGAAATGCAAAACAGAGTCTTTTCCTCAGGGTGTTCTCATGTATCAAAGTTACGAGGCTAGAAAAAAAACGAAGGAGTTTCAGTGATACTTGCCATAATCCGAGCAGGAAGCATTATACCTGTGAGTATTGCAAAGTTGTCAAACTGGGCAGAGTAGAAGCCACCAGTTCCCATTGCAACATAGCCGGACTGAGCCTTCACGGTAACTTTGTTTGACGTCACACTGCCCCCGCCTTGAATTGCCACAAACACCGAGTCTCCCTAGAACAATCCAAGTGTGATTCATAGACTATAACGATACAATACCAGGACTCATTCATGTCATAATTATGTAATGGCCAAGTAGCTACAGTCTTTGATTACACTGGAGAATTTAAATCCAATGTCGCGTGCAAACTTACGTACTTGGGTCGTAATCACAAGAGAATACCAAGTTTGCAAGGAAACGGCAAACTTCTCGCTGACAACCTGCTCTTTACCAGCTACGAAAGAGAGCAGTATAACTTAGTTCACAACACGGATGAACATTCAATATCATTACAAAATGAACGCTGTATATAGTAGTAGAAACACACAGTAAGGATGGACACTACGTTGTAGATACAAGCGGAGGAGCCATAGGCATCTATAAATTTGAAGAAGAGGTCTACTAATCAAGTTTAGTCAGTCACGAAGGTGCCACAAGCATTATATACATTATTAGCCATGCAGTAAAAATATGAAATGAATGTTACACACCATTTCAACTTCTTCCATGGATTTTAAAAAAAGTATAAGGTTGAAAAAATTCTGGGCCAACCCTCCATCTCTCCAGGCAGACGCAGTGCACGCCAAAAGGGGTATATAGCATCATGCCATACATAGTAGTTGCATGTGATGTACATATATACCCAGGTCAGTGGTGATGTTGTAGAAGCCGGTGGAGTCAAGCCAGAGGAAGACACCAGTGGCCTTGGCCACCCCACACCCTCCCTGACTCATCCTGGCAGCCAGGAACACTGCAGTCCCCTCCCCCTCCAGCAGCACTGACACCTCTGCAAACACATCAGTCCTGGTGCCCACGAGAACAAAGACACCACTGATCAACTTCATACCTAAATCTACTGGCTGCTGTGCAGCGTTGCACCATACGGTCATTCTTTATATGAAACCATGAAATTTGTAAATGTTTTCTCCTCTGCAAAGTTTCCAACTGATGATACGTAAAGGTCAAATATAATTATGCCAAGCTCTATACAAGCGTGCTTGTGTTCACTCCAAGTACACCCACTGGTATAATTGTACCTGAGGATAGGGTTTACTTACCATGTAATGTTTCCGATAAGAGTGTTTGGTTGGTTAGCATCGTCACACCAAGTGATGGGCCGCTCAGGCACCACCTAGAGAACACATTACGAAACACACCAAACATATACACATAATATTGCAGTAGTAGTTCGCTATCATACATACCTGAGCCATGACTTTTCCTACTGCAGGATCTGAGGTAGGAAGTATTTCAAACACACCGCTCTGATCTGCAAAGTACTTAGCTTCCCCATTGTCCGGATAACCTGTGGCAGAAAAAGTTGCGTCCTTCTAGTTTCAAAAAAGCTCAATCAATGGGGCACTATTTAGATAAACCACAGCGTAGTATACCGGGATTAGTATAATGTACAGTTCTTCAGAATGTCTAAAAATCTCTTTAAAGTTGCTTGCACTGACTTTAGGTCAGTTAGTTGTCAAATTTGCAAGTTCCAATCTCTATGTTCACAGCACTGCACTATTGGCAGAAAACATATCCGCCTCTCGTTCACTGATCACCTAAATTATGCATGCGGGGCATTTTTGGGGAGTGGAAGTGCCTGTTTAGCACTGCAGTGTTTTTTCGTCACACTACAATCTTCTCAGCTCCACAAAATGTCTTCACAGTTGGGCCTATATGTCCTAGGTTAACTTGCTTCCGCTCGCCAATAAATTTGACATTGGTATGGGTGTACATATCATTGGTAGAGGTCTATATACTACAATACCGTCAAAGGTATCGTAATGGGGGACAGGGAAGGGGGCTGAGGGAGGGACTCCAGAGTAGGAGCCTTTCTTCTGACCAGTGAGTGTAGACAGTGTCATTACGGTATCAACTGGTAAGAACACTGTGAACTTTCCACCATTGACCTGCACACATTAGAAGTGACTGACACAAGCAGGGCTGTATTTCTACTACTCTTTAACATGTACAGTCTCTGGAGAACTGCAGGACGTCGCTGGTGGAAGAGGCTAGTTAGGGTGTCAAATTTTTCATCTATGCTATCGCATGTGGAACAATTGTGTGGGTGAAAAACATTCTGAATTTGGCAAGCAGGATTTTACTTGTCCCTTCTATAGTTCAGGGCCACAGAGAACTTTGCAGAGAAAATGTCACATTATTGCTCTCAGAAGGTGACTATTCTCCACCTTTGCCCAGCTATACCTGAATATTTTCTCCTTCAAAAGTTTCCTGTATAATATTCTAGAATAGTCACGTTCTGAGAGCCAAATGTGACAGTATGCAGTGTGTGCATGGGTCATACGGTGACGGTGCCACTGTCCAAGAAATACTCAGAGGTGTCTCCAGTGCCGTACTCGAGATACGTGGTCCACTGGTTTAGCTCATCGACCCCAGCCTGTGAGAAATATTAATTCAACCCACTCTTCTCCCGCAGAGCAAAGCTCCAGAGATTTATTGCTGGGGGACAACTAGCCCCACTAGCAACAGATGGTCCCAACAACAGCACACCTACTGCTTGGGGAGTCAAAGTGTCCCCCGCAAAGCTAATTCAGGGGGACAAATAAAGAGATAGAGGGACTGCATAATATGTCCTGGTATGCTCTAGTGCAAGCCCTGCCCCTGACATATGTTTGTGCGATCGTAACACTAGAGCATCTTGTGTGAAAAACTAGCAACAAGGAGTATCTTCTATATACCTCTATGAATGAACACGTGGTTACTTCTATACACGGATGTCATAATGACACTGGCACACCCTCTCCCCCCCTCAGTAACTCACAAGTACTCCGTTCAGAACAAACGTGGCGTCTTGTGGGGCGACAGTATAGTCAGGGAGACTGGGTCTGATGCACACCGAATGATTGTGGCTCTAACAAAACAGAAAAAGACCCGTAACTAAAACAAATACAACGCCTTTTCCGCAGGCAATGCAATCAAGTCATAGAGTGCAACATTAATAACTCCTCTCTCTATGCATATGTACATGTATTATTCATTGACAAGTATGGCATTATAGTTATAGGTGTATTTTGGACTACCAAGTAGGGTTGGTTTTCTAACCAAAATATCAACCTTAGAGTGAGTATTCTAGGTGGTATATAGCACAGCCACAATATATACCATGGTTTCAATGATGATGGAGAAGTCGTTGGTCTTGGGATCATAGAGAGTGACATAGCTACCTCCACTGGCCAAATGGCCAGCTCCGTAGCCTTGTTTCAGGTAGTAGTAACCTATCTCACTGAACTGAGTGGTGTGGGCTGGGGGAACAGAGTAATTAGAGAGAACTTACACACTACCTACAGAAACTGTGATGAATATCTCTAATAACAAGAACAATTATATAGCTACCCTTAATCACTTCCCTTTCCCCATTGGTGCCTAATTAGATCTAATAGCTATGCGAAAAACCTTTCACCATGATATTATAATATCAGAGGGGACTGCTCTCTAGGTATAGTCTTCCTACTGAGGTCTACCAGGGAAGCTTAGCAGGCAGGGTCAAGGCAAAAAAACTAATGCATGTGGACAAGGAGCTCAAACTTAGAAAATCTAGTAGCATTTTGCACTGGGCCCCATTGAAATTTAGCCCCTTAATTACTGACACATTCCTATTTGTGTGCACATCATACTAATTACGACACCTGCTATCCAGATGGGACCCATGACCTCATAGTGACCAGACCATGGCTCAGTGGCTGTCATCAGACCATCTCTGAAATACGGCAGTCCACTGTAGTAGCTGGCTATCAGGTTCCACGATATTGTGCTGAAACGATAGAGAGAATATATACCACAAAATACTTGGGAGTTTTCGTTTGTGAGGCAAACCTCGTCATGTTTCCATTCACATAGTTCTGGTTAAGAATCTGCAGGGATGTAAAGGCGTGCATGCACCAGTTTCATTCAAAATGTGGAGGCATCAGATGATAAACAAGGGTTGAGTGTAGCTATACACTACTGATGTAGCTAGCCATGGAAGAAAAAAAAACAGGTGTATATATAGCTCAACCATTCGGCCATCTCATATTGATTTCTCTATGCATGTAATCAACGAGGTAGCAAGGCAAAGGCAAAGCAAACAATTTGCATGTTATGCAATTTTATACACGTGGACTGCTGTGCAACAAATTAAACACGAGTGCATGTCATCTTTCAACAGGTTGCACAGTCTCACCCTGGCCCAGCAACCTGCTCCTACATCGTCATTGAAGGTGCTGTAGTCTTCAGAGGCCCACAGAGGTTTGTGTGTGGCAAGAGCTGCCTCGTCACTCACTGTCCCAGGATAATGGGCACTAGACAAACAGGTGATGGGGGGTTTCTCTATTGTTTGTTTTCCAACTGTGATGCACAGTCTCGTAAATTTGAAGGTGTTATGTGGTTTGGTGAGTTTTAACTGACCACTAAACCTTCAGGAATGGTGTAGTTGGGTGTGGCAATACCCCACCCACCTAAATTACACTTGAACTGTCCAATAGACTGCTTGATAAATTTACTGTGCTTTATTCTCACCCCGAATTTTTTCCATCACAACAAACACAACTGAATATGAGCTTACCCTATAATACTGACGGAGCTGTTGAGTTCAGGGTCCTTCACATGGCAGTCGAAATGCCACTGAAACTGCTATCTGCAGCCACTATCTGGACCGAGGAGAACCCGTTTTCATCCAGAACTTCTCGCAGCGTCTGAAAAAAGTCTAAGATATAATTGACACAGACTCCTCCCAATCACGTAATTACCTTAATGTACGTAGCATTGAAATACCTTTCGTTCCAAATCTGGAAAATGTGAGAGAGAGCACACTAAAACGAAAACGCCACCAGGGATTAGCAATTTGTAGTCCCTCATATCTTACAACACACTTTGCTGCAATGCGTGCTTCATAAACTGACACTCACTCCAACATAGTCAATATCAAGATCATATTGAGACCTGGCTCCCTGGATCCACTTGACGATATAGCCAGCAGTCAGTTCAGGGAAACCGTAGGGGTTGCTGGTGTCACCTCCATTTGCAACCTACACAGAGCAGTGGGCAATTGAATAGACATACACACTCTGTGGGAGAAATTAACTGATGGAAGAATGATACTGTGATGTTAAAAGTATGGTTATGAGGTGTTTTAGAAAGAAAACTTGATAGCAATTACATACAAAAAGGAAAGAGTCCATGCATAATTTTTCTGTACTGCTAAAATTTTTAGCTAGTAATTCTTACCCATGCTGGATAGGCCCATGAGAGTCCATACAGTTTGATGTTCGGGTTCCTCTGCAAATAAAGATCTTTAAATTGTGGTGTATACTATCACTAGCATTATGACTATTGAGTTTGTTATAAAAGTCTATGTTTTGTTGTTAACAAAAACGATAGGCTTTAAATTGTGGTGTATAATGATCATTGCTCTACCTTCTTTGCTTCGGTCATGAGCCACCATTCATAGCCCCTCTCATAGTTCAGATCACCTGCTGCATGCATGTGAGATGACTCCGTGCCATCTGCATACACAGCCAGAAGGAAAAGACACTGTCAATGTATATATAGGCGATTTTGAAACCCATCCACCTGTGCTCTGAGCATCTCCTCCAATCTCCACCTTCAGGATTTGCAGGGACGCTCCAAACTTTGGCTGAAAACAACAAACGACGTCCATAAAAAACGTAGCAAAAGCAGTTATGGAGCACTAGAAACACACAAACCACCACAGTTTGCACACATGTACAGATTGATATATACCTTGAACAGGAAGTCCAGGATTTGCTCCCGGTAGGGATCATTGTAGTTAACCAGAAGACGAGAAGTAGCCTAAAGTAAACCACAGTACATACTAAAACAATAGTACCAACAGGACTACTACGGAAGCTGCAGTCAAGTATACACTACGTGTAGTTGCAACCTATTATGTGCTAGCTATGACTGCTAGCTAGTTGAAACTAACTCCCCCTCCGCTCAGTCCGCCGATGCCGTCGAACTGCCGCCCTAGACCGACTCTCGCGTCCACCACATAGGTCGGCTGGGCCCTGCAACACAGGTAGAGGCTCAAGACACACACTAGCAGCACCACGAATCTTGTATCCATCCCTGATCACCTGCAGCAGAAGACCCAGAGCCCAGCTCCGTTTTTGCTGCGTGAACGGACGAATTAAATTTAAATGCGCATGCGCAAAATTTAACCCCTCGACACCTTACGGTTGCCTCCTTGCTTAGCTCTGTCGCTTAGCTTTGTGGACACGAAATGGACTTTTTCGGAACGTACACAACCTTGCTGATTATATCCCTATGTAGTATACTGCTCTTCATTCGTTCTTCCGCGGCAGAAGAGCCTTCGGACGGGGCAGAGTCGACGGGACCGCTGCTCCAGACGATCGAGGGGAAAGTGACGATAGACGGGACCAATACCGAGAAATGGTTGACGACTACGTTCGTGTCCGTGGACGGTGGGCGATATCACGGCTTCCTGAAGGCCAACGGAGAGTTTGAAATCCACGGAGTGATGCCTGGGTCTTACCTGGTCGAGGTGGTGGCAGACAACTATGTGTTCGAGCCACAAAGAGTGGACATTAGCAGCAAGTCGGGCCGAGTGCGAGCACGGAAGGCAAACTTTTTGAACTCAAAGACGATCGATCACCTCCCATACCCCCTTAAGTTCAGGACCGGGAAACAAGCAGAGTTTTTTGAGAAGCGAGAGCCATGGAGCATCGTTAGTACACTCAAGAACCCTATGGTGCGTATATACATGTATGACTAGTATATGCAATACATGTGTGTTTTGGAGAGGCATGTACTTTTGTGTAGGCCTTTTACTTTCAATTCATGGATTCGGTGTTGTTCGTGTGGCATGTAAAGGGAGACAGTGTGTCCTTGAAGTGGGTTTCACTGTTTGACCGGCCTACATGCATACAGGTGCTCCTGCTAGTGGCTCCTATGATTCTGATGCTTATCATCCCGCGGCTGATGAAGGGAATGGACCCCGAGGACAAGAAGGTCAGTATAATACCTTACACCTCTAATCCACCACCAGAACATCATGGGTATAGGTGTGTTTGTTTTGCTCTTACCGTATTTAACCCTCGGCGCGCATGCGCAGCGAGGGTTACAGTACTTGGGTCTGTGTGTCTGTCTGTTACTCGTTATCTCACTTCTCGAGTGTTCGTTCGTCTCACAAAGGATACCACCTACTGAACGGGCAATGAAGGTCAGAAATTTCGAACGGTTTTCCCTGAAAACGCTCCGTTGCGAAGCTAGAGCGCGAAAAAGCCAATATGCAAATACACAACGGACGGGATGGCTTACCGGGGTCTGATCAATCCGCGTGCTTTGCGTACCTCGGAGGCACAAGAAGATGCAACGCAGGGCATGTATCGCCTCTCCCATGCTATCTAGTATTGTAGTTAGCCCGCGTCAGACTCTGCGCGAGCTGGCAAGAGACCGCGAGTAACAGCTAAAACTAAACCCAGCCCACCAATTAGTGGTACGGCGCATGCGTTTTGCGCGTCACAGTGCGCCGAGGGTTTGCACTTCAGTGCTTTTCATTGATGTATGTAGATGACACATGCTATTATTAGTCCTAGAAAGTCTGCACCAGCATATCAAAAAATTGTAAAGCAAGCCTATGCTGTCACACGCATGCAGGACAATATTGTTAGCAAGCGGGAAAACAGTAGTGAGATCCGGAGGTTATGCTATTTGCTTGCCCCAAAGTTGCATTCATTGTGTCAGCTGTACGCAATGTTTGCTGCAATCTAGTGTGTCAGTACGACACAAGCATGCTTTCTCCTAACTAAAGATGGTTCGCATGGATCCCAATGTATAGAGCGGTATGCCAGAATAAGAGATCAAGTCTTTTCTTGCACCATCGCAACAACAAACATCTGTCGCTGACTCACACAAGGGTTCGATCGTGTCAATGACATAAACCAGCCTTAACACATACATTATGCACACTCCTCCTGCATGGTCCCCCCTCTCCAGGAGATGCAAGAGAAGATGACCATGCTGACACCGGGCCAGACTGGAGGCATGCCCAGCATTGAGGAGTATCTCACCAACTTCTTCGGAGGAGGTTCTACTGCTGCGACTAGTCTCAGCAAGAAATCCACTTCTGGGACTCGGAAGGGGAAATCTCGTTAGCCCCTATCGTTAGGAGACTTAATAGCCTGTCTATTTATGAATGTACACGCACAGCAACAATCATGTATTAGAAACAAAGCACTGATTTAAAAGCGGCACGGTTTCAGATGTAATGCAGTTCGTACATTGAGAACTGTTAGGGGAATTTCAGTCCTGGAAACAAGCTGTAAATCAATGAGACGTTGGCAATAATGGAACGAAAGTACTTCACTATCTCACCTCTTGAAATCCTCCTTTGCCTCTGAGAATCTGTGTCTGACTAGATAACCTGCTACTATTTCAGCTACCTGCACCAATAGTGAAGAGCATAACTGGGTGGTGGGGTGTGTGTGTCAGTGTGTGTGTGTGTCTGCGTGTGCGTGTATAAAACCTTGTCTGGTACATCTTCATGCACAGCATGCCCACAGCCAGACAGAACCTGCATCTGAAACTTCCCTGAGACAGAAGACAGCATTTATTATATATACCTCCACAACCGGGGGTTGATGTATTACCTTGCATATGTGCGATGGTCATCTCCTTGTCAAGTCTGTCAACTCCTATATATACACAAATAAATCAGTGGATAAAGCCACAAAATGAAAAAAGTCAGTGGGTAGAATATGTAGAATCGTGCCAGTATATATAAGAACTAAGAACCTGCAAGGATGAGGATCTTGGGAAGTGGGCAGGAGAGAAAGAGCTGGGTTAGACCACTGAACCAACCCCTCCAGAATGGATCCGTCTTTGCCAAGTCAATCCTCCAGACATACAGCTCCTGTTTTAAAGGCCATGGTTGAGAGGAATACTGCTGTCCTCTACACTGCAAGCACAATACACTGGCAACCCAATTAATGTTGAACTAGCTTTCTATCTGCAGTCAGGTTTTGTAAGTCCATTGAAGTCCAGTGAACATGCACTGAGTTAAATATCCCCGCCAGAAGCTGGTCTTTTGATAGACGGTTCTTTCTGTTCTCTAGTGTTCATCAGTCAAGATATACTGTCAGCTATTGCATGGCTATACTTCTTTGTTACGTATAATACCAGTCCCTTACGTGTATTAAATGATTGCGGAAAAGAGAGGGCCTGGATTCGAGGCTAAGTATGTCAGCTGAGGGCACAAACAATGGGGGCTCAAGGTATACATGTGCCCCGTGCGTCTCCAGTTTCTCACTTTAATTTCTGACTTGCTGACACTCTCATGATCATCCTTGTCTCTCCTAACCTCCTCATCATCTCTACCACCACCACTCCCCTCCCCCTCTTCTGCTATTGGTGGCGTAGTGAGGAGAGACACTCTGGAAGTTGCCTTTGAATGCCTCTCACTGTCTACAGACTCATCTATAGATATGAAACAAAAGACTATGGATAGAACAAGAGGCTATGTATACACCAAAAGAGTAAGTATGACACCTCCTGTGAGACCTATTACGGTACTAAAAGATAAAATGAGGCAACGTGGTACTATCTACATCAACACTTAACCAGCAATGGACACATAAATCCACAGAACCCCCATATGATACTATATAGATGCTAATGCTTTGTACATGGTTTTTACTTAATGGCGTCCAAAGCCACTTTTACAGATACGTAAGATCAAAAAGTCAGGTCATGGAGTATACTAAGTGGTGTGAAGGATAATCTGAATACCTGGTGATATGACTGAGTCCGAACCAACACCATTACTCCTGAAGATATTGGAGGACAGCTGAGGTGGCAGCAGAAGTAGGAAAAGTGTTTGACTTACTTCATGACTTGTCCGGGGACTGACACGCGGGCTGACTGCACATTCCTCAACTGACCACTCCGTATACTGACAACATACATTTGTAAGATATTCCTCTCGTTTTGTTTCCCCCCAATTTACCATTCTTCCCCCCTCAATATCTATTCCCTTTTCAGAACTCCTTCACTAACTTCCAATCTTCTACCCAACAGGTTGCACCCTTAATAATATTATCGTGTTCTGCCCAACATAATCATCAGGTAACGCAACATTCACGACTAACCTCCATTCAATGGCATGTTCCAGAGACCGGAATGAAGACGGACGATTGTTCAGGAATGCGTGATTGGCCCCGAGTGAGTCCATTGCTGTCCCTGGTCAGTTTGGAATACGGACCAAGTCAGTTTGGAATACAGACCAAGGCAATATGGTCGAATCAGCATGGAACACAGACCAAGTTGGCATGGAACAGAGACCAAGTCGGTATGGAATACAGACCAATTTGGCATGAAATACAGACCTTTCATTCAAACATTATGCACACAATAATAATTATAATGAGACTTTACCTTCGACTACGTCTATTACTGCTAGACCAATGAGTGAAGGTATGGTTAGCTTGGCAGCGACGTGGACAGCTATGGCACCTCCCATGCTAACAGAGTGAATAGAGTGTCATTTTTTAATGGGAGTATTGTACAGTCGCCCTACATATGTATGTATGTACCTGTGTCCCATTAGTACTATGGGAGGGGACTCATCTCTATAGAGTGAATCAGCCACTGTCTGTACATCACTTGGAGGAAGAATTGTAAAGAGAGTGTTTATTGGAGACTGAGGCATATGTGGTTAGGCATTAAATTATAGTTCATAGCATACCAACCATAGATAGAGAAAATAAAAACCACCACCACCATATTTACAAACCCCAAAATATAAAACACACAACACAACATACACATGACATGACATGAGAGAAACAATTGACACAAAAAAGGGTTTACCCGAATAAAACCTCCCTCCCTTTGTCTACTTACAACTGTACTATATATACCTGAGGAGAGTACTGGCGGAAAGATCGGTATCGTTCTCAGTAGCCGTATATCCTGCCAATTAACAATGCAATAAAGTCAAGTTCCATATCCTGCATTCCTGCACTCGTAATGTTTATACTGAATCTAACTATAGACACATGGGGACTTCCCCTCATACAATCATAGTATGCAGGTTGTAGTTCTATTCTAATCTGCACGAGAAGGTATGATTATATGTATGTATGTAGTAAGTCTGAAGCCCAAGTCACATGCTGTTTTGATGCCCACCAGCAAGTTTTCATCCATGAACTTTAACAAGGGGGTTTTGCATGGGATTTTATAAGGAGTGGTTAAGGAAGTTAGACCACACTCGTTACACGACACACACGGGTTATAAAGCAGCACCAGCATTACGTAACAGGAGGGTAGAACTTTTAGTAATTCAACTGCAGGTCTGCGAACATGGCAATGTGGAGCTACGAACTGAAACCCATTTTGTTAGAAAATTGAATTGACTCGATGACAAACTGCATACATACATCTTAGTATATTGCTCTGAACAGCAGAAGGTTAAGATTTAAGCCAATGCAAACAGAAACCAACTTGCAATGGGTACAAAAACTGAAGCCCGGTATAGAGAGTGTGGGTCAAGAAGCAATGCAGGCAATGGTATTAGTACGAAATTGGCGTAATTAGGAGCTGATAAAACATGAATTTTAGCTTTTGCCTAGAAACCCAAAAAATCGTAATCCTAATTTCAGACCACGGGAAGGGTATGTATGGCTTACAAAGTAGACCAATCATGAAAGAGGATCGACGGCTAACGAAGTCGTTACATTCACATTCTCATCCATGCAGTTCATGCACCCTGAATTAACTATACAGTATGCAGCTTTGCAATAAAGGAGCTACGTACGTATTTTCCTATGGTAAGAGTGACCGTGAAGCAATTGTGCAAAAAAAAACCGGAGACAGGGCTATTATTTTGCACTCTGCCTGATACGCAGGATACATTAAAGCACGTGCTCAGAGTGTGTGTACTAAGTAGAACTAAATCAGGCAGCTCTACTACTAGAGAATTTATGGCATGGTTATAGTGTGAATACTCCATCCAATTCTGCGGAGTTTTTAGTAGGCATTACATCATTGAAAGTGTTTGCTACAAACTCAACGATGTGTGGAGCTATGGAGAAATTTGGATATGGATATTTAGTATGTTGACATAATCTTTCACCGTATCTGGATTGGCTATCTGTGTGTGTGTGATGTAGGTCTAGGCTAATCCCAAGGGTTCTGATGGTTGTACACGACAGGAAATCACAGGAATGCTTGGCTCAGCTCCTGGGCACATGTTTGTCTATGTCTCCATAGTAACGTAGATGGCATATCGAGGTGAGGAGGACATTTTTGCGAACGTAAAAACTGCAAAATGAGCAAAAATATAGCACTGCGAAAAAGCTTCACAGCTGCAAACTTAAGTTGTGTGGAAAACCTTGATATTAGTTATCCTAGTTGAGAGTTGTTCTAATCAGCCAAAGAATTTCCTGTCATCCGATCTGGACCCTACATAGCATGCCATACCTCTGGAATCTGCCCCATTAGGCATATTATAAAAACCATTGGTCGCTCTAAAACAACCAGAGTGAAAAAACAGTGATGTCATAGTGTCTCCAACATTAGATTGATAAAGTGTCCTTTATAGAGAGATTGTTTCTCTAATGCCAGAAGGTTTCTAGCAGTCAAATGGCAGAATACGTACACAGACATTTGACTGCTAGAGAACTTTCGGGACTTCTATCAACATGCAGCAAATGGCTTTTTCGTACTATCTATGGAACTGTGCAATGCTCGGGACTTTGCACGTCGAGGTGTGACTACTGTAACTAATTGACATTTCCAATGTGTCCTTTATTCTGAGGCTCTGTTATAGAGTGTAGTAGTGACCCCTAGTCTCTGGATTAATCTGGGGAGCTGTGATAGGAGGGTTGCTGGGGGCACTGGTAAGTTGAGGTGTCTGGGAAATAAGACAGACACACCCAATGTCATGTACATGTTTGGCTTTGTGCAGCGTTCTGGCTGGATGCATTAATAGTGCCACCTATAATAAATGTATAGGTAACTACGTATTACTACATTACGCTGGTTGTAGGTTTGAGAACTGATGAACTAACTCCTGAGATCACAACCTGAACAAAGCCCTCTCTTATCACATTCTATACAAAGGTCTCCCCCCTCTCCCACTTGCCTACAAAGAGTCGTCCTCCCCCGTAACACAACACCTCACTTCCACCGTATTTGAAATAATCGGAATTACGTATCAATTGAGCATACCAGAAACCTCAGGTACGTAGTTAGCAAACCCACTTCCAACACGCCACATCTTTAATTAATGTGGGCAAGGGAATACTAATAGGTGGGACATCCCAATAGAACATAGGTGGTGGACATACACATGTGATGCCAGAGTGAGAGGGGGAATGCTCCAATTAAAAGAGTGTACGTATGAGAAGTTGAGGCTACCCTATTATTATTATACATTCACTGCAGTCTCCAGCTACAGTGGAGATATTAGAGATGGTAGATTGGCCTATTCCCTTCTTGGTAAACATACGACAAATTTACCCCACCCAAAAAAGGATGGTAGATTGGCCTAATCTTTGGACTGGATCTTTGCACTGCCTTGTTGCAATAAATGTTAGCCTCACTATTTTAACATTCGCACCGCACTCTCCGGCTACAGTCAAAGTATTGGGGATGGTATTTTGCCCCATTCTTTGAACCGCCTTCTTAGTAAAAGTATGAGAAGTTTAGGCCGACGTATTATCCACGTTAAATACTTGCACTGCATTCTCCAGCTATAGTCAAAGTATATAGGCTGGTAGGTTGGCATATTTTTAGAACCACCTTCTCAGTAAAAGTACGAGAGAGTTAGGTAACCCTATTCTCCACATAACACATTTGCACTCCACTATCCAGCTACATGACAGTTGGCATACATCCTGGCACTGCCTTGAGAAACGAATGATGTGAAATATCACTATTTCCCCATCAAATCAGCAGAAATATGATGCAAGTTTCAATTGCATCAAGAGCTAATATTGTAATTGCTAGCAAAGCAGGCCTACCTTGTTGTTTCAATAGCGTACAGCTGTCGCACTCTATATAGACTTGCTTCCATGCGCATGCCAATATGCACTGATCGTATCAGGGTATGTAAGTGACTAACCGTGCCCTCTGATATCCATGGCTGCTATCCTACACTCCACCAGTTTACTCACTGAAACCTACAGAGTAAGAAAGATGCCCACACATTCATATAATATAGCTTTTTTCAAACTCTTTGGGGGCAAGATATAATAGAACTCCCTAAGACACCTCCAAAACGAGTATACATTTATAAACAGAACCCCTTTCCTCTCCCTAATAACGAGTCTAATTATAACACCTCACTAATAAGGACATAATGTTCTGTCCCATTGGTGTCCAGGTTTAGAGGCGTTCCACTGAAGTATACAATGCCCTGATATAACACATACGTACAAAGGTTCGGGGACTCACAGAGAACACGGCCCAAGAGAGAGCAGAATGACCTCCTCCGTGGAGCAACAGGAGCACTGGACCTCCACTTCCTTTCAGGTACACTCGAAAAGACTGTATACAACTTGTCAAGAAATGGTGTATATACACATCCTACAAACTGATCACCATGTAGAAGTAAATACGCATGATGGTAGAACACGTAATTGCAAAAGATAGAAAATTTACGAAGTCTCACAAACTTTGGTTTTAGCATGTTGACCGCGTAATCGTTTAGCCGACAAATTGCTTTTTATGTGACTCGAACAAATTTTTTTGCTAGTAATACTGTAAACACCTTGTGCTTGTATGGAAAGAAGAGAGAAAAAGAAAAGATAAGGGATGTAATTGGAGAGCTTGGAATCATGCCAATATATATATATATTATGTATACCTACCATAATATGTACTGGGTGTGTATAAGAGAGGAGGTTATCCCCCTAGATAACGAGGAATGAGGCTATATAAGAGATACAGCTGTGGGGTTTGCTTGTGCTCCGGTTACCATACAAAACACTAGACCACTCGCTGCATTGCATGCTGCGAAGGTATTTAGTTCCGAAATAAGAGATCTGTTTGAAGTCGGTGGTTACCCGTCTCGCTTAACTAGCAGTACGTCGTACAGCACACATCATTTACGTCGAAAAAGTTGTTACCCCTCCTTAACAGCAGCAGTTTACAGCAGACCATCCATTATACAGTTCGAAATCAGAGATCTGTTTGAAGTTGGTGGTTACCCGTCTCGCTTAACTAGCAGGCGTACAGTACGTTGTACAGCAGCAGACCCCATCCATTATACAGTTCCGAAATCAGAGATCTGTTTGAAGTTGGTGGTTACCCCTCTCGCTTAACTAGCAGGCGTACAGTACGTTGTACAGCAGCAGACCGCATCCATTATACAGTTCTGAAATCAGAGATCTGTGGATATTTGTGTGTGTTTCTCTTTTGGTGCGCTACCTGCATAGGATGGAACAGTAGTGCTTATATAATAGTGCTTGGAAGATATATAGTATGTCTGATCAAAGAGATCTGTGTCTTCCGTGCTGACTTTGACTGTTACAATCATCATTCTGCCATTCCCACTATACATGTGCATGGAAGGTAGTAAGTACCTATATCAGTGGATCAAAGGGTTTTGTGTTTTCCTGTTTACTTTGACTGTTGCTATAACTAGAAATCTGTGATACTTGGAATATCCACTTCTAAACGGAATAGAGTCAAAAGGCATATCCACATGATGAGAAAGACCTCTTCCTTCAGACACAATGAAATTGTCTAATTTGGTAGAGTATGTTCACCAATAATTGCCAATCAAGGCAAGTCAATTAAACTCATTTTTTGAGCAGTGATACGTGCAGTTTAGTGTACGTTTGTGAGAAATGATAATTATTTTCAAACAACGTTGGTACTTTTACTTACTGATTCCCATGCTGTTAGAATAACAAGATCATACTTTTTGTTAAAACAAATCATGTTGGAGATTACCTAATGCACATAGCGTGCGCCACAAGTATCTATAGCATACTAAAGGAATGCACATTTTTCCACATGTCCCTAGCTACACGTTAGTACGGGGACATTCTTTACGTCTCCCTAGCTACAGCTTTTCTGTTGCCTTAGATACTAGAGAAACAAACCAGGTTTTCCTGGATACTTTCCTCTTAGACATCGAAAAACGACTTTAAAAGGCAATAATTTCATGAGTTACATTAGTATTAGTATATACATACCACAGAGACATGACATAGATACAGATCACTCGTTATCAGGTCATTATGTCTCCATGACAAAAAGAAGAGACATTACATAGATACAGATCACTAGGTTCCTTCTCGTTACCAGGTCATTATGTCTCCATGACAAAAACGAAAAGGCCTCACCAAACTATGTACAGCTTTACTATAATTATATTTCCTAGATAAAAACCGGGAGACATACCGAGTACGTAAAGTCCTACAAAAGAGTAATATTTCTCATGAGCTGAGAACGAACCACAGACCTTACACGTAGTGTAACAGATCACTATTCCCTCTTATTACCAGGTGATTAGGTATCCATGGCAATAAGGAAAACGAGACTACAATGACACAATTCTTCACACGTGTCTCGTTAGCCTTTTCCTGTTGCAAGACAACCAAATTGGGATACATACGGAGCAAAATCCTCCCAGGAATATAGGGCTTGTGTGGAGTAAAATTTACACAAGCAAGTAATGTAAGTTTGAAGATGTAACCATCATCCCATCTCATCACATACACCATATAGGTCATCCCTGTCTTGTCTCCTTGCTTTTTATGGCATCCCTATATTCCACACTTTTTGGGAATAATTTTTTTATTTACTTGTCTAGTTCACATTCTCAATTCTCAACAAGCGTTCAGGTGTCCTAATTTGTGTGGGCGTAGCACTAGAGCTGGACAGTGGCAGAGAAATAGAACACCTACAGTGAATGGCTGTAGAGAGTGTTCCTGGAAAAAGAATGCACCACGTAAATCTACGTAATTACAGTATGCGAACCTCTCCCTTGGTGGTGGTTGTGTCAGAGTAAATAGCACACCTATCTATCATCGACTTCTCACGCGCTCAGTTAGCGTGCGTTCAGATGTGCACGTCATAAGGAAATGAGATTAGGCATTCACGCCACATCTAATGCCCATATTTTGCGGATAATGCATCCATACATGTACGTATCAATGACCAACATCAGAGTGAAACGTCAATTATACACCCCAGGGAATGGTAACCTGGCATGATACATACTTACGTTCCTCATTATTCAACGTGGTTATGTATGCACATATACAAAATAGGTTTTAATTCTGGAAGTGATACTTCCTAATCGTGGAGGCGTTTCCTAGGAGACCAAAACACTGCCACATGCATGCTAACAGTGCTGTATGTATAGTAGGGGACTAAACAACTTTGTGTGCAATAGACTGTGCGTGTGTGTGTGTGTGTGTGTGTGTGTGTGTGTGTGTGTGTGTGTGTGTGTGTGTGTGTGTGTGTGTGTGTGTGTGTGTGTGTGTGTGTGTGTGTGTGTGTGTGTGTGTGGTGTGTGTGTGTGTGTGTGTGTGTGTGTGTGTGTGTGTGTGTGTGTGTGTGTGTGTGTGGTGTTAACATAGATTGTAGGTCAGGGCGTGAGACACACATGTTAGAGTAGTCAGAGCAAAATGATTTCATTTGAGCTCTCTCTCAAAGAGTGTTGGGAAGTCTTCATTAAACTCCCTCATGTGTGTGTATGTATAAACATCACACTGGTAATAGTGTGAATCTTACAAGCTCCCATTAGGACAGTTCTGAACTTCTACAAATGACATTGATTAAATCTTTAACGTATTGATTAAATCTTTAATGAAGAATTGTTCAGTCTCTGGAATGTCAATGAAATTTTCCAAGGGTATGTGTACATACTCATAGTCTGCTACCATTGAAGAGGAATAACGAAGGGAGCATAACTGATGCTATCTGTTATTTACATGCAATACACAATGTACCCGAGCTCAGTAAGACGTATATTGGTGAGCGAAGGGTAGTCGTCTGAATTGCATATGACTTTCTGGTATTGGCTAGGGCTGGTATATAATGGTGCTACTCTTAGCCACAATACGTGTAAAACCACTGAAATGGTGCAACTCGTGTTTGACTCACTGTTGCAGCCATTCTAGCCAAGACGTATTCCCTGAGGCTCTAAGCCCTGGCTGAAGTTGTACATACACCAGTTGATAATGTGGAAGTATATACATGCAAGACAGTGGACATTGCACACTCATGCACATTCACATGGCTGACATTCCTGTGGCCTAATGCAGTAAAAATCCTCATTAACATGTACCAAACTACCACCTTTCTCTGGAAATCAGGAATCATACTTGGAATACCACCTACACCATCAGTGTATACACTCAGTTGAACAGGAGCTTCTCCGCATTACATCATAATGATGCGATTTTTTTGTGCATACTCCTCAGTATTAAGTTAGTGGCAGAAAGTGTTAAGTAACCAGGGAGACGGGTAGAGATAGAAAAGGCATGTCAACGAAAGTTAGACATCCACACGGTACAAACAGGAAGATGAGTTGAGGGCAAGGATGTTGGGCCATGTTCATTCTCTTGCATAACCACAATTCCAATGAATCAGCTCTCCTGCCGACTTTTGAGCCTCACACATTAGAGCATATCATAATTGAGGTAATGAAAAGAAGGAAAATGCAATTACAGACAGGAAAATAAAAACAGCTGCTACGTGAAGGACGCAACCCATATTTCTTGCCTAGCAATCATATCTTTTATTCCGATGAGCTTCGCCAGATACATTATAAGTTACGTACTATCAGCCATGCACTAAGTACGTATATTTACTTATGTCACATGATGATTATGTCTGGTTTGGCTGATGGCCTTAAAAATATGTAGTGAGGTGAACTTACCCCATGCAATTATACGTACGCACCAACGTTGACCAGCAGTTTGTGCAAGAAGTATTCTATAGTACGAGTGAGTTTGACAGAAGGCAAGACGGAGGAGGGAGGGAGGGTGGGATACATTAGCTCCAGCTCTAACATCTTGATGAGTGTCGAAGAAGTCACTCCATGGAAGAGGAGAGTAATCCTTCTTCCTGCCACTTCGACCGCCTCCCCCACTGCAGGTAGAGAGAGGGGGAGGGAGACAGAGGGAGAGTGTGTGTGTGGCACTTCGCTCAACGATTACATAACTAAACAACAATTACGAAATATAACAAAAGTTCACTCTAAGTATAATAATATGGGCTCAAAGTCTGTATGGTGGGAAAATATCGCGGGAGGAAACTGCAGAACTCGATGACTACTATACTGAATAAGGTTTAACTAATTGGCCAATGCCAAGGCAATCATTTCTTTCTCAGAATCCTAGGCTTTCCTTAAGAAACCTTGCCTTTGGCTGTTGACTAATGTCTCAGTTATGTGTCTAGCCAACGGATTTGTAATCGCGAATCTCTTTGAGCTACAGAATGGTGGGCATGTGCATCACATAGTCACACGGTGAATCACGTACTGAATATATGGGACCAACATTTGTTGCCAAATGTTCGTTTGACTTGGGGGTCGAGAAGCGGTCAAAACATTAATTTTAATGCAAAGTTGGACACAAGTATTTTGTGTACGGTTGTGGCCTATGATCGCAGTACACAATCACTGGTCATCGCTTCATCAAAGACTGCGAACAAGCTATGTCGAGAAGGACAAAACGATTTTGATTCCTTTTGGCAAAGTTTGCCACCTACGTAGGCAACTACATATGTATTATTTTGGCTTGTGATGACAGAATCATGTAACAAAAACGTTGTGTGCTTCATTTGCCTTTTCTAAACAGTTACATCTACATACGTACGTATCCATGAGAATGATTGCTGACATTACATCACCCAATATGCATTAGCACAACCGGAAGGAGTTAACCATGCACATGAATTATAAATAGCAATGAACGTTGGCTTATTTTAGAACCTTGAACGATATTATTCATTGACCATGAAAACACATTCTGTAGCTGTGATAAATGATTTCCTCCTGGTTTCTTTGATATTCATTAATCTTAACCCCTAAAAATTGCTGAACAAGACAGGTTTCTTAGGGAATGCCCCCATCTGACGAAATATTTCGTTGAATGATTCAACCCTGCCAGCTGAGCTGCCTCGGTTGTTAGAGCCCCCTGCCTTGCTCTGTATGAGTGATTCAGCCCAGCCAGCTGAGCTGCCTCAGTAGCTCAGTTGGTGGAGCCCTCTCTAGAACACAGAGTGCTCTGCCTTGCGTGATTCAGCTCAGCCAGTTGAGCTGCCTCAGTAGCTCAGTTGGTAGAGCCCTCTCTAGAACACAGAGTGCTCTGCTTTGCTCTGTATGAGTGATTCAGCCCAGACAGTTGAGCTGCCTCAGTAGCTCAGTTGGTGGAGCCCTCTCTAGAATGCTTTGCTCTGTACGAGTGATTCAGCCCAGCCAGCCAACCTCTCTTGAAGTGGCCACAGCTAAAAGATCTTCACATGACGTGCACAGTACCACCAAGTACCTTGGTACTATTTATCCCACAGAATTAGATTGTTGTGCCAACAAAAGGGGCATGCACAAGTGGGGGTCAAAGAAGGTATGTCTGCAGTGGGAAGTGGTATCAGGCACTGGGCATTAAGACCCTTTTCCAGCCAGTGGCAAATGAAAGAGAGAACTGGCACATACGTAGCAGTATAGCAAACAAATTGCAAGTGAGAATATACGTACATACAGACACACACACACACACAATGAATTGTTTTCACCGACTTTCTATGTTTACTGAAGCAACTCAGAAGGTTGAGCAAACTCTTTTAGTTCAAACCCAGCGCTCAAAAACACACACACACACTACCATTGTATACCAACGGCCTGTGGAGTGTGCATCAATGGCCTGTGGAGTTGCATACACACTCGACAATACAACTTGTCTAGCCAGAAACCCCCGTGGTATCCTCACAACCTCCCTCCACATAGACAGGGGCAAGAGGACACAGTAAATAGTCTACGCTATGGTATCAGTACAGGATGCATGGCAGACAGAAGCAGGAGATGAAAATTAGTAATAGCAACGGGCGACAATGGGTCGGTGTGTCAGCACAAAGGAATGCAGGAGAACAGAGTTCAGACAGGGAATAGCCTTCACATGGAATCCCACTTTGATCTAACCTTCTTGCCCCACTCACCCGTGGCAGGCAATGTCTGCCACACTAGTGTGTCTGGAGATGGAGGAAGTTCAACTCGGAAAATGTCATCAGACAATATAAGTGCAGATTTCCGCCTGCCCTTTCTCACTTTGATGTACACTTACGGTATCATTATATGACTGCAGTGGGTGTCTGGAGGAAAACAGCGGATGTTGACTCGCAGAGATACGCTCTGCGGTCGGTCGGCTGAGCTTCTCTATATATACTATATGCTTTAGAGAGCGCTCTACCGACTCACATAGATTAGACAGTAGAATGGCAGTTGAATGAGAAGTGAATGAGCATCCTACCTTCTCACACATCAAAAAATGTTCCATCATGTGAGATAAACCTTGTGCGAAACAATGGTATATACATACATACACATATATGCAGCTTTGAAAACAATTTCCATTTCTAAAACCTTTCGGTATGCAGCCTCAACAGATTTAATACGCAACTTTTAAGGCTGAATACAATCGACTTGGACAGACATACAATGGAATTGGAGCGACGTGTGTACACTGTGGGGTAAAGCTAACCCTAATGAAATGGCAACAGGAGGTCTAGTTATATACAAACACCACATCACACTGATACACAGTATGTATGTGTACATGGGTATGTTAAGAGAGAACATTACCGTGTGCAATGGTAAGAGAGAAGTACGTATGCTGCGCCATGCAATGGGGAAGTATACTGTTACTGTGTTAGCTGTCAGTACAAGTTAGCCATGCACGGCATGTCAGGATCCACCCAACGCCAGTCATTCTGTCTGGGGGTAGGGGATTTCACGCCCAGGAAAACGACACCAATTACTCCACTACCTGAATACATACCATAGATTCCAGGCAAACACAAACACACACTAATGGACGGAAAAGACAATTAGCGCTTTGGATTCTCTTTGCAGCGTGCAACAAAACTCTAAATGGAGGTGCACTGATTTACGAGTATGTAATCAACAGTTGTTCTTGTGTGACCACTACAATAATCATGTGTAACCAGGGCCCTTGTCAAGGGGAGCCACAAAAAGGTTATTTCGTTCAACAAGATCCCTAAGTGCCAGGCCTTGTGAGTTAGACACAGGGTTGCTCTGCTATGTGTGCATTGAAATCGCCAGTAAAAAAATCCTTGTCCTCTGGAGGAAGTATATACACACTGGGGACTAGAAGATTAATACACAGGTGTTCCTTGTTCAGAGGTTAAAACATACAACAAGTGACTTGTAAAGAGGCGTCGTTTATTGACACTCCATGCAATATTTTTTTAAAGACAAAGGGCTGGAATAAGTTTGTAAACAACAACAACAAACAGTCTCGGGCAATGAAACTGGAGTAATGTCCTACTTAAACCTAAATTGGTCATAATGACCATTGAACATCCCTACAGAGGGTTTTTCCAGCAGTCTGCCGGGTTCATCCTTGTTCCAGTGATCTCACGTCCACGTGCCCACCTTTCCCTGAGGAAGACTGCGGAACACCAGACAGACTGATGGCTATCACCACGAGGCCATCAACTGCCGGTACATTACAAGCATACGTAGATGAGGGGATAAGAATTGTGTGAGCCTTTTAACAGACAACACACACACTCGCTCTCCCTCTCCTCTGTTCTTCAATAACCTAATCTAAATAGAGTAAGCATTCGATCTCGTGCAAGAAAGTGTAGTTGAACCAACGCTTTTATTGTGCATATGTAATACCTGAGGCAACTGAAGCATGTGATACTTGATACTCTTGCACACACACACACACATGGTTCCTGGACAACATTGGTAAGAGCAATCACTGGCCATGTCTGGTAGTGTTTGTGTCTGAAACAGAGCTGTTAACAGGAACGTACATGTCAATCAAGTGAAGCTGAAGGTGCAAGAGAGAGAGAGAGAGAGAGAGCTAAAACATGGAGTTCCCGGAGGCAAGAGGAAAATGGAGGTAAAGCAGGATTTGGTCGAGTCTTCTGTTGACAGATACCACAGAAAGGTGCACACACGGTGGAGGATGCAAACACATTTCCTGCACTTATTTCAGTATTACTGCATACTTCCTCTCCTTATCATACTGTGTTAGCATACTGAGAGCAAATCTCTGATGTCAGTTGTTTTACAGACGCTTCCGCCGCTAACTCGAAACCTGAGATAATTATGTGCTGCCACAAAAATCATATGGGCAAAAATCTACCAAGAGTAACCAAGTTATACACCCACAACGGACATCTACTTACAATGAAGCAAAAATGTTAAAAACTTCCAGGGCTAATTTGATAACTGTACCTCCCCTGTGTCAAAAACACAGCTATGTATGTATGCAGCCGTGGGAAGGTAAAGGCTGGAAATGGAGCCCCAGACTAAGAGTCTGACTGACTCTAAATAGTGGCGTGGCCACAAGGAGCCGCCGGCGGACAGGATGTCCAGAGTAGACAAGAGCATGCCAACTGATAGCACCAGTTCCTTTGTCTGAATTAACCTTTCCCCGACCTCAGTCACTGCGGTGCTTAGGGGATCCACAAAATAATACACACAACGATAATACGATACCAGATTGGGATACTGCAGATAATACGATAAGAGTGGTGTGTCATTGTAATAATACACTGAGCCTGAAGGAGCCTTTAGTCCAGGGTATCGTTACTGCCTACAAGAAGGCTCTGGGATAATGTTACGATATCAGATATTGACTCTCGTATCTGTGTATTGTACTTGCACCGGATGAACACACACTCATTCGCATTCCCGTGAACAGTGGGGTTTAAATGTATGAGAATATTTGCGGGTTGAGCATTCACGTGTACACATGATAGCAGTGGGGGTTAAATGTATGAGGGTTGAGTATTCAGGAGTACACATGATCTGTTTTTGATGGTCAGGCTAACAGACTTTGTGTCAGGAGGGGGGGTATGGGCGGCAGTCAACCAGTCTGGAGATAGACGGCCACAGGATCACTGACTACAGGTGTGTAATGTATGGGAGGAGCAGTGGTATAGGATAATGTACTGTGAAACGAGAGATATGTACGTTGGTTGCTCATTTCGATCAGGGACACCGCTACAACTTGAGAGTGGAGGGAGAGGGAGAGAGGAGGGAGAGAGGGGACATAAAGTGGGGGTATTTAAGGCTCACCGGTGCGTGATACAAATCAAATGAGCTATAATATGTAAAATCAAGACTATTACTGCATGGCATGTTGCATGCATATTCTACATATGTATCCTACATAAAATGGTCAACATTACTGACACCACCAATGAAGACTGTAATGTAGAAACATTAGTTAATACAACATTGTAGTTAATCCAAACAGCACTGTACATATATGTTGCAGTGCCCAGACAGGACAGCATGAGCCCTGTAAGGGCTCATGCTGTCCTGTCTGGGTACTGCAACAGATTTGTTGGATATCCCTAGGCAATTGACATGTATGAACCCTGCTTGCACACATAGGATTGTATAGGCTGATACAATCCCCCAGTACCTAGCTTCATACATGTCGGTTGCCTAGGGATATCCAACAAGTAGCATTGCAGCCATACATTACCATAGTGTTGCACAAGACGTACACTGCTTAGGCACAACAGAGGTTCACTAGTAGGCTTTTAGATACATGATACGAGTGATGCTGCTGCATTACATAATACACTGGTGGTCGTCCTCAGACGCACACAGAGACCATTCCTCAAAGAAGAGACAACGACCAAGGGAGCAGGGGGGGGAGGGGGGTTACAATGCAGACAGCTGCGGGGATTACTGGGCAACCAACCACATCATTCCAACAGGCATGAATTCCAGACTGGATTCCGTCTGGGGCGTAACGAGGTTTCTTCGTCTTCGCAGCATACCCCCCCTGCCTGCTGACTGCAGACCCAGCTAACACAAACCATCCTTCTTCCTCACACAAACTGGAACCAGAGTACCAGAGCTTTTCCAGTTGGCTTGGTTAGTAAATGAGGCATACAGCACTTAGAGTCCAGATTCAACACTTAATACGCTATAAGCAAAAGGATAGTGCCTTTGGCCTACTATAAAGAGCATTGGTTTTACTACTCTTCTTAGTTGCACTTTGCTTCCACTCTTTGTCCCAAATCACACAATCAGAAATGTCTCTTCAGAGAGGTCTACTTTCTTTATGCAACGAGTTAGAAGAAGGACCAGGGTATGTAGCTAGAAAAAAAATACAAAGATGGCAAGAGAAATAGGAGAGTAGTTTTTCGGCCACACACTCCATTAGTGCACCAAAAACAAACTTTTATCGGTGGTATAGTTAACCATTGTTATATAAACTTAGTTGGAGTACGTATATATACCTACTAATGTATTAACCTTTGAAACGTGCATATGCTCATTTCTGCAAAAAAAAAGTACACGCGAGGTTTTCGATTGAGTCAGACACTGTGAAAATAAATCATCTTCATTCATATTCCATTCAGGCAAAAAAACACAAGTCGGAAGGAATGCCTCTTTCGATGGTCGCAAACTGTTTTCGTAAACAGCCATTAACATGTACTTGTAGGTCAGCCACAGGCTTTGAAAACCACTTCGGCTTACCAAAACTATGGTCTTAGTTCGACAAAAACTTTCAATTCACGATAAGTGTATTCGCCGCATAAGTTTCAGTTTACCCACTGGATATTATCAAGAGAGCTGTGCCTCATTGTGTTTGCAAACCACGGCGTGGAGATTGTACGATAGCCAATTGTACAGCAAAATACACTGTGTGAGACAGTCGCAGTGTTTACGCTTAGCTGGAGGCGGATTTGCCGCCCGGTTAGCCTCAAATTAAAACAGTTAATGTCAACAGGTCGGGCCTTTTGAGCTACGTATATATCTAAGATAGATAGTGACTTTTGACTCAGGATTTTAGTTAGCTACGTAATAGACAATATTACCTATGCAGCTCAGCAGAAAGATACTCATTTAAGCTATATACTGCGTGTAGGATTTAGGGTACACTTTTGGACAAAAATTGCTATACACTTTGTTCTTGCGGGAGATAATATTACACAACACCATAAAGTTACAAGCTATGCAACTCTGTAGCACAATGCAAAGGTCAGTCCATGTGGACCGTGTCTTGATATAAAAACACCCCCTATTGAGTACTATCGGCATACTAATCAGCTCACATAACAGCCTGCTATAGTACCAGTCTTGTCGACTGGGGCATTTCACATGGGTGACATGATGGGGATGGTATGTGGGTGCACAGGGTTCGTCACTTCCAGGGATATTTTCCTCCACTCACTCAGACAGAACAAATCACACTACAATATACTACACCAGAGGCCACAGAGTACAGAGAGCTGTGTAGGCAGAGGAGTGTGTGTGCCTCATTATCTTACATAACTTCCTGGTTGGCCAAGCCCCCAGGCCTACAGCAGCTCTGTGTGGATGCATATGAAACCCCCTCCCCCCCTCGGTCTCTTATGGTCTAGACCATTGCACCCATATCCTTGCTGAATTCCTGGGATGCACCAGAGTGTGTGTGTGTGCCCCAGGGTGCCTTCGTTTTGACCAACCAATATCGCAGAGGCCTTTGATCTCCCAGATTCTGTGTACATATACGTCCCTAGTCCACGGTTATGCAGACGTTTCCGGGTCTTTTGGCGAGTCTGGGTGTTTTTGAAGTGTCTCTATATGATTTTCAACTCTATGGATATGTCTGATGATTATGTAATCGTCTGCCAGCCACTCTACTGCCAGCCCTCTACTGCGTATGTGTCTCATACTAGTGTAGCTGTAACTATGCTTCTCTAAGACAAGAATAATATACAGAATATGACGACTCAAACGTACCCGAGAAAGCTCTTTTAGAGTTTAACACGAAGTTAGAAGAAGGCTAGAAAGCTGGGCAAAGAGCACATTATGTATATACATTGACTGAAGAATTGCGTAAGAAGAAAGGGGAGGAGGGAAGGAATGGGTGGCAAGATACACAACTACAGGACTAAATGTGGGAAGTTTGCTCAAAAAAAGATCCAAAGTCGAAAGAGAACAAAAGGAGATGAAGAGAGAATGAACTGGCACAGAGAATCTCCACCTCAAAGCCAGAGTAATACGACTTATCCAAATATGCAACTATAATTATCTGTGCAAACAGTGTAGTTCTAAGAGGAAGTCTGCCTGGGCCATTATCAACGTAGGAGGGAGGGAGGGATCACATGGTTCTGATTCAGCTGCCACTGTGGCAGCCACTGAACCAGCTTATCTTGAGAATGAGGATTCCTCCTCCAACCTTGACTCACCGCATTAGTTCTCCTGTTCGAAACTCATTGTGCATCGAAAACCTATACTTAGAACCGGGCCTTGGGTACAAAAGCACCATGTACTGTATGTATGTAGCTTATGCTGCCGCTTGTAAGTATTGTAGAGCATGTATGAACTACGAGGTAGAAAGGCAAAGGCACAACAAACAAGTCAACTACACCCAGGACAGCCTCTTTTTTCAAGCATGTGCACACTTTATAATCATTTAACAGCTGCTTATGTGTATGTCACGTTCAATTTATGTTCTGCTAAAAGTCACCTAATGCGAGTAAGCGTGCAACCACTTACATGGATAGCTTTCTTCACTGGAATACCAAAGATAAATTACAGCTAACTCGTAATGGGCTACATTTATGATAATGCAGACACAGTAAAGTGAAAACAGGTGTTCACAAACACAAAATGTAATTTAATTCATTACCGCTTGACGTTCCTTCTTGAAAGGGTGCATATAACAGATACTGCGTAAAGTAAGAAATCTGGAGCTGCCAAATAATTGAATTTGACAAATTAGCGAGGCAAAATACGTAGGCTACATTTGTATACTGGTTACAAACCATTCTACACATGAAGGAGAACTTGTTTGTTACGGGACACGCCTAAAAAACTCGATCGACCTGTTTTCACTTGCGAATACACTTAATTCACGTTTTCGAGTTGTCAAACCGGTTTCTGTCACGTACGGAGCCGGTTTGGCGGCGGGCGCGAGAAAAAACCGCACGTCTCCCCAAAAGAGACTGTGGATGGTTCACCTTCAAGTCCCAGTCATGTGAGGGGACAAACAGACGCCAAAAAACAACACCGAGAGGAGAACCCTACAATCAGGAGATCCCGATATCAAGAGACATGGGAACGTTTTTCTCACCCCCAAAATCCCACGTTTGTACACCGTGGAAACCAGAACAACCAACTAACCTTTATTCTGGCAAAGCAAACGACATACATCGTTATGTAAGAATCTAGCAAGATGTTGTTCCTGGGGAAAAATGAGAATCGGCGCTTTACAATACGCTGAAAACAGTAAAATCGTGTGAAGTTTGTGAAGTAGTGAAAGTATCCGCTATGATATAGCCCGCATTGCTAACCGTCTGACTACATTCACAAAGTTGCTCATCCTTAATCGCCTTTTTTTGGCAAAGGTTTTAGTTACGCATAGGCTGCTGTTGGCTTTGGCACTTGTTGTTCACTTGTGATTAATCGTTATGAGTACAAATAGGAGGAAACACTCCTGAAATAAGGAAATAATCTTCCGAGTTAAACAAAGTTGAGACCCTGAAACAAACTTATTTTTCCTCTCTCTTTCCTCTGTTACGTTATACCCAGGCCTCATGTGTAGGTGATAAGATATTTTGAAGAGATAACCTACAACCCCCCCCCAAGTAAGTATAGCAAAGAGTATAATATACTCCAAAACACAGACTATACTATGAGATCCCATGCATTCAAGGTCTTCCTAAAAACTCCCTTAGTTGTACAGCTACCATGGCATTACATAACGTTACCTAACGCACGGATAATTCGCAGTGCCACTCAATCTTGTACGGTTCCTAATACATTTTCCAGCACACTATATAACATTTCTATATACACATGTGAGAGTTCAGAGTGGAAATTCATCAAAGTGTAGATATTCTCTGAGCAGCTTCCATCCACCCTGGGTTGTCTGGGTTGTCTGGGTTGTCTGGGTTGTCTAGACATGCACAGCCTTGAGATATGGGTTTCCGTAATAGTCTGGACACGTACAGTTATGGATGGAGTGGTTAGTACACATAAATTCATACGGGCACCCAGGTAGGATGTGGTACATACAATCATATGTGCACCTAGACAAGAGTGTACAGACCCAACACAGAAAATCGGTCTGCACTTCAAAGACCCAGAAAACCCTGGCATTACTTTCCCTTCGGTCCATGTTGTCAGCTCCAGACAAACGTGACTGGTATCTTGATGCCCCCCCCCGGCCGGCAGTGTAACACACACATACAACCACGTGTACACACCCATACACAGGAACACGGGAGATTTCAAATCCCTTTCCCAAAGATCTTGAATCAGTGTATGTGCAGATCGACACGCATAATCACACACCCTACTCAAATACACACTTGAGCTGAATCGACCTTACTTCAATTTTATAACTAAAAGCTGCAAGATTATTGTCCAGGTTTGTACATCCATAAATTAATCGGTTGTTGTGTGTTTTATATGAAAAACACGAGACACAAGTAGAGGACACTTAGGAGCAGGTCCTAGTGTTACGTAAACTGAGAAAACTGTTTTCGTAAACAGTTTTGAGTACACACGAAATTATCAGGAAACCGAAATGGCAGCCACGTACAATTTGTTTCTCTTCTTGTTGTCCATTTGCAGCGGACATACTCTTACATGGAGCAGAAACGACAAACCCTCACTTTCAGGACATTAGCACAATGTGTATACACACACAAAAAGGAAGGGGGAAGGTCTAGCTTTGCACGTTATCAGGCCAAAAAATGAATAATTGGAGACAAAGTTAAGAAACATCTGAAAAACTGTGAAGAACGACGTAAAGCGACATGATACATGTCAGCGCACTCACTACAATTAACGACCCCATGCTAATTTTGAAATAGAATCTTAAATTCCAGAAAAAAATATATACCCAAAAGAGAAAAGAATGCACATGTTATCTAATTGGACTCCTGCAGGTATTGAAATGGAATCAAAATACTTGTATGCCACGTGGGTATATACCTTAAAACTGTCCGTATCGAGCCCATATGGCAGCCGAATGTGAAAGTGTGCAGCAAAGGCCAGCCCCGTGCATTCTTCCACCACACGCAAATACTAGTCTCTAAGGTTTAGAGCTCGCCTGCCTAACATTTATTCTGAAAAGAATCAGGAAAAAAACGGCAAAACACTCCGCTAGCTATCTGGTGAGGGGGTGAAATGCGTCGGGGGGGGGCGGCCTTTTGTGTCCGAGGTAAGGCGCACTCGCGAAAATCTGGTACTGCTCAGCGTACGTATATACCTTCGCGGCTGCAGAGATCCGCGCGGAGGAAGGCCGGGCGGAAGAGACTTCTTCAGGACAGCTCTATGCAACGCCATATAAAATGCCCACACAGTTGACCACGCCCCCAATCTAAAAATAAGGCAGACGTTACGTAATGCGGTGGGGAGTCCCCCCTTCCCCGTTTACCTTTATAGACAGACACGCGACACTACTTACTTTAGTATACTTACAGGCTTTTTACGACGACCGCAAATTTACTGAGAATATACAACCGAACAGTAGTTATTATCGACATCCTGTGGCCTTGCAACTGCTATAAAAGAAGGCATATCACAAACAACGCTTCGTCCCCAAACCGCGACTTGGAAACATTGCTAGCAAAAGCGACAGCAGCTAAACCTACTGGGACCCCACAGCTACAAAAACCTCTGAAACTTCTGCAGCACCGCGCCAATCCGCTATGTATAGAAGCTACAGCCCGAGTGAAAGCAACCAAGTAGCAGTCGTTCCTCGCTCGTCGTCCTTCAGCCCATCCGCCTTCCACGGGTCTCCAACATCTGCCTTTGCCGACGACTTCGGCTGCTCGCCTCCTCCGAAGCGCCCCCGCAACTGCGTACCCACCACCAGCGCCTCGGCCTTCACCTTCGCCGAGTTCGCCGACCTGATCGCAGATTCGTCTAGCGCTCCGCTGTTGTATTCCAGCAGCAGCTCCCTCTCTCCGCCCACGCCGTTCAGCAGCGACTCTCCGAGCTACCCCGCGGCAACCGACGGGTACCAGCCGAGCGGTTTCGACGCCATACAGCAGCAGCAGCAGTGCGAAGACTCCAAAGTCGACCTGGCTAACTTCCTCCAGTCGGTCGAAGCCATGCAACATCAGCAGCAACAGGCTCAACAGCAGCGGCAGGGAAGGCTTGCACCAGGCATGGACATTACCACGCCTGCACTGAGTGAGAAGGACTACTCCATAGTGGTCCACCAGGAACCAGAAGAGGTATATATTATAGCAAGCAATGTATGCGCATGCATGATCTAACTGTCTACAAGAACAGCTGACGTTTACAAATCAGCAGGATTGCGAAATTTCATGGCACTTCTCTCTTTTTGCAGTACTATAGAGCTCGCTACGAGACTGAGGGAATCCGAGGACCTATGAAGGGAAGGGAAAACAACCATCCTGCAGTTAAGGTATGTATGGTAATTCTCTCTGCTGCGAGTTACATAATAGTACACCAATATACCTCCAGCATTATGCTGTTATCTAAAATGAGACGTAAGGTGCACATTTTACATGTTTTGCAAGCAGAAATCCAGAGGAAATCACTCCCCATCCAGGTTCATTTGCGATAGTCCATCACCTATTATTACCACTACTAATACTATTATGGGAAATCCATTTCATAATGCGTTCCCACTGGCCTCAAAATCGTGAAAATATTTTGTCCCCCTCCAACTGAAGGATGCTTGTGCACGCATAATACGGTAGCAGTCCAGCAAATTGCAAGTGTTTGCACAATGATTCTAATCTCACAAAGGGAATGTCCTCTACCAGTGGGCAAACAATATTCATACCCATTGAAAAGCACTTCCTGTGTGGAACCTGAGAAGGATGTACTACACTCTATAGCATGATGAAGCAATTATCAACATGTATACTATACTCATTATCATAATACTCAACCCCAATAGATTGTTGGACCCATGACATACTCGGGTACCGTGAGAGTGAGTCTGGTACACGAGGATGGGAGCAAGCATGGCTCCTGCTTCCTGGATGAGACCAAAGATCGCCAGAAGGCACTCTCCAAGAAGATTGACCCTCAGTCCAACATGATTGTCGAGTAAGCAGAAGGAAAAAAAATGTTTATCTCCCTATAATATTATTACGGAGAGCAAAGCGAGCCCATCTGAATAGGACAGTTTCCATTTATGTAACGACCGACTCTGCATCACGAAAATACACATGCTCGTACAACAATTCAAAGGTCGCTTTGCTCACCATAAATGCATACATAGCACATGGTTATTTTTGGAAGCACGTGCTGTATATGGATATAAATGGATTGGGTGTGTAGGCTAGGCATTAATTATGGTGGCATGGGAACTACATGTGACTGGCAGACATTCCAAGGATTCCTACCAGTAGTTAGCTCCTAAGCCTTACCACACAAATGTCATCTGTCATCTTGCATCTCTGCAGTGTGTGCTAACATTAAGGCATCAAATTTCACTTGTCACATATTGTCATAGTAATACCACCATTACTTTGTCTGTAGATAACATTATCAAATGTCATTAGCACCAATTCTCTTTGTCTGTGGAATGCCATTACAACACTGCTTTCTTTGTGTGTAGATTTGAAGACCTGAGGATCAGGAGAGAGACAAAGTCAAAGAACTACAGCAAGGAGGGTGGCAGGAAGGCCGACAAGGCAAAGAGTGCTCGCAACGACAAGACAGCCTGTCTGCGTTTCGTCGCCACTCTTCAACTGGCTCCCGATCGCGAGATCAAAGTACAAGTCCTCTCCAAGCCCATCCAACTCTGTAAGCAACCAAACCTCCTATTAGCCAATAAGAGAGCTCTATGACTATGCTGTTTGTGTTTTTGATTCAGGTGCTCCACCAGAAGGTGCAGAGTTGGAGTGGCTCATCCCCGAGTACGGCCATGCCAACGGCGACGAAAAGATCGTCATCAAAGGCACAAAGATGACATGTCGTAAGTTCTACACACTTTCCACTAAACCTATCTATGACTATGTATTGCATAACAGCTTTGCTAAGGCACATGGTGCTTACTTTCTGTTCCTCTTCTCTCCACACAGCCAAAGTTACTTTCACTGTGATGCTCCCCGACACACAAGTGGTGGAGCTGCTTGGCCACGTCGACAAGGAACAGTCGCACCAGGTATGATGTTCTCCTTGCATATCTGCAGGCTTATAGAACATCATGAGCCTTTATACAATGTAGTGGAACCGCTCTGATCAAAATGGGACAGAAGAAAGTGCCGATATTAGTGAGGTGTCCTTAGAGGTTGAATTGCAATGCAAGAACTGTTTTTGAGTGTGTCTTTATTAGGAGTGGTGTCCTCATTTCTGGGGTTTTCCTTAGAGAGGGTTACACTCACACACACACACCTGAAGCTAGACTTTACTTCCACTATTTCGCTACAGAATGTACTGGTTGTGAAGACACCTCGTCTTCCCGATGAGCTCAGAAATTACCAGGGGCCAACCCTCAAGGCTGAGGTCAGGGTGTCCAGTGGACGTGCAGGAACATGCAGCGCACCACTCCCCTTCTACTACATCCCCAATGGTAAGCAATTGGACAGTTAGACGCGACACCCGACACCCTTGAATTTTGCTTTCCACCTCAAACCACGGCATAGGAGCACACACGGCTCTTTTCCCGGACCTATAATATATAGCAGTTGCTTAAAAGTACCATAACCACTTCATCATTCTTCTTGTCTATAATTATACCCAACTTAAAACGGACTCTATCGTTTTCTGTTCCTCTATAGGTGTGTGCCACACCTGCAGGCAGACTCTGCCAGCTCCGGTCCCCGTCCAGCAGCCTCCCTTCATTCCCTACTCAATCACCAACTGCAGTCCCGGAATCTTCTTTGCCACTGGGGGCTCCTCCCCCGGGCAGCAGTGTGGGAACATACCTGGTTTCCCACCGTTCCAAGAGATGCCACCCCAGGTGGCCTATCCACCACGCCAGTGCCAGGAACAGATGGTGAACACATCCGTCACCCTCTCCCACCCACCGTCCATCTCGAACGCCTCAACACCCTCGCCCATCCCAGCTCCGGTTTCCTCGGCCTCGCACAGGGACAGCTTCCAGCAGTTGTTTGAGAATCCCGCCGTTCCCACTACCACCACGGTTGCAGGCGCTACGGCCGCTCTGTGCACGCAGAGCCCCAACCTCTCCCCCACCTCCAGTCCAGGCCCAGACAGGACACCTTACTGGAACATGGGTCCTCACTCAGTCTCCATCACCACCCAGCCCCAGGACTCCATCCTCACAATGCCCGACTTTCGGAGTATCTCAACAAGCTCCCTGGTGACCTCGCCCGGTTCCGAACCGGTTTACAGCGCCGTCCCAAGCCCAGACACGACCACACACATTTACACGCCGATGCAGATGGCTGCGTATCTCGAAGACCCCAACACACAGTACCGTCAGTCTTGATGTTGTTTTCCTTTGAAGAACACCATGCTCTGTTGTTGGATGTTTTTTCATCTGGAACCGTTTATTTCTTTGAAATGAGTTTGCTCTCTAGACTTTTCCTCCAGTGGGGTGTTTCACTACCTACTTTTCCCATTTTGTGTGCATTGCCAACTTTATCGCCTTCTTAAGCACTGTTGTTGTTGTTGTCTCTTGAATACAAATCTCCTGGTAAGGGGAGATTGGACAGATGTATGTAGAGGCTTTACCGGCCTATTATATATAAAGCATGCCTATCATCTAAACAGTAATTCATTAGAATGAAAACTAACTTCAGAACTCTGAAAATATTTTATTGCTGCACTATAATTATTATTATATCTTCTGCACCAAGGTTTCATTTTTTCGAAACCGACCATTTCACTGCTATTGTAGTCACCCATTATGATATCAACCCACATCAAGGTCATATTAATTACACCACAATTTGTAATTGCACATTTATATTTAAAAAAGTGTTTTTTCTGCACAAAACTCTGGTTAACAAGAAAACGCTGATCCCATGAACCAAACTCAAACAGGAAGTGAAAATTATTATCATACACACCACTCGGCACTTTCCAAACCAAAATTTTGAGATTATAGGAGAGAATCTAGCACAGACACCCTGCTGTAATAGCTAAAAAGTGAGATCTTAATACTGGCACTAGCTTTTACATGATGAAAAAGTAAAGCTCAAACAAGAGTTGTGCCTCTATATAGCAGCTTCGTTTTGTGACAAGTATATACATTCTTGCATCAAGCTGTGCTGTGTTGCAATGCACCTGACACAGACACACCACTAAATTATTCCTTAGGTGCAGAGCAAAAGCTATTACGAGGCTCCAGTATTGAGAGCTAACAGTGTGCCAACAAATAGCCAAGAAGACAGGAGAGTTCTTACACTATCCTCACTCGGTATACAACTTTCTGATATTGAAATCCAACAGTTGTTAGTACAATGCTCTAGTGTAGAACACCTCTGAATAATAATGGTCTTTGTGTGTCCTTTGGAATCACTTTATTACTGTGGTGGGCTCGTATGGCAGATGGGCCATACATGAACAGTACCGAAGCCTCCACAGGGAGAAGGGAAAGGGAGAGAAGCAGTCTACCTGTCTTCCTCTGCACATGAGCAGGTAGGACACACTCCAAAGACAGAGAGAAAGGGACAGCAGCCAGCATAGATTGGCACCACCAAGCCACACTCCCCAACAGCTGGCATAAGCTGCACTCCTGTGGGTTGCCCCCTCCCTCCCCTTTCAGTCCCAAAAGCACTACAACTGCTTCCACCTTGCATTCCTCCCCCCCATATGCCCCATACAACCAACACTCTCTCGGCACTCCCACGTATAATACATTCACCTATATATACACTCCTACATTCACTTATCCACACTCCACATTCAAATTTTGAGGGTGACAACATATTGAGAGCATGTACAGTGAAAGAACAATTCACAGACATACATTATTGATGTTTCAAAGTCCTTCTAGTCTTCAGTGTCTACTGTAGTCGTCACTAGACCTGCACACAAAAAGAACAAACCGACATGCTAACTTGCATTGGGATACCAAGATACTAGGTGCCGATTGACCGACCCCAGTAACATCATGCTCAGATTGACACTTCTCCGCGCAGTGTTCAATAAAAAACACAACAACACAGACACGGTAATAATCAGCGAGAAAAGGGTGGCAGATATAACGGTGAATGCTAACCCTCTCTGCAAACAGAGGGACGAAGAGCAAAAACAATGGCCACAAATTCCCTGAAAAACAGGCGGTGGACACACACACACTCAATTCACAAAATGAAAATGGATGTCGACACATGGTTACATAGATTGGGCGGCTGATAACAGAGAGGTATTTTCATCATTATTTTGAGCTCTCTGAGAGTTTTCAGTCCAGCACCATTAGCAGCCACTTTCTGCGAGAAGCTTCTGTCGTTCAGCTAAGTGTCAACATAATACACTATTCTCCTGTACATAAGTGTCGACATTCACCTTAAAAGGGGAAACACCAGCTCCATTCTTTGGGCGCGAAAATGACTCTACTAAACATTCTAAGAGATCACACTCAGGTGAAGACTCTATGTACCACCTACATAGCTAGAGCTACCATTCTAAGAGATCACACTCAGGTGAAGACTCTATGTACCACCTACATAGCTAGAGCTACCATTCTAAGAGATCTCTCTCAGGTGAAGACTCTATGTACCACCTACATAGCTAGAGCTACCATTCTAAGAGATCACTCTCAGGTGAAGACTCTATGTACCACCTACATAGCTAGAGCTACCATTCTAAGAGATCACACTCAGGTGAAGACTCTATGTACCACCTACATAGCTAGAGCTACCATTCTAAGAGATCACACTCAGGTGAAGACTCTATGTACCACCTACATAGCTAGAGCTACTATCCAGCCAATGTAAAATGATGGACAACTTGAAGTACCAAGGAAAAACATCACTATGGCATACTCTTAAAACGCATGCACACTAGGACCATGTATGTATGTATGTATGTATGTATGTATGCAATGACTAAGAGATGATTAATTCCAGTTGCCACAAAATCTGCATGATTAGCTGCACGAGATTTAATCCCCTAACCTCTAGCCATGTCCCAGGCACATAGGGATACCTACCCTACCATATGCCAGTCGGCAAACTAGCAGTAACTCTATATGACATCTCCTATAAGGGATTCACTATAGCAGTCAACACATGACCTTGAAAAAGCAGGAGTTGGCAAATACTTCAGATTCTATTAATACATTACTACACATCCCAATACTCCACTGTGGGGAGGCAAAGGTTTCCATGTCTAAAATGACAACAGAAGTTCAACATTTCCGCATATCCGATAAAGGGGGATGAATTAAGGCAATGAAGACTGCCATATTATAGCTGGGTGAAGTTAATATCAGCAGATTGTTGGGAGAATTAGAGACAAGGGACACACTCCTAATTCAACCGTGGTGACAGGATAATACCCCAATTAATAATATGCTTATCAAACTACTTCCTTTCGGGAAGAGTACCATTTGGCACAGAGGAGTGAAAAATAACACTCTTCAATGATTCAGCAGCGCCTATGCTCCATCATCTCCAACAACATGCAGTGTGGCGGGAAGGTCTATGAAAGATGTGCTCTGAAAAGTTCCCATACGTATTTCTAACACACACACACACACAGATTTTAACGAATGAAAAACGTGTGGCAAGTACAACCGTGCTCTTTCCACATGGGATCACATGCACTAGACTACTCCAAGAACGTAAGACATGCTTACATAATACAGCATGACTCACACGGCTTGCCTGTGGCACTGGTTTTGATACATTTATGTTCTATGTTCAGCAACAACCTGGCCTTGCATTGCCTAATGCTATTACAGTGCTAAAACCCTAGGAGGGTGGATATTTGGAAACTGTGACTCACCTTTAAAGCTGTCCACAGTAACGTGGGTGACGAGAGTGTAGAACTTGTGAGGAGAATCCTCGTCCTCGTTCCGTTTCCTGGCGCACCTCACCCGGATCCGGAATGGGACATTTCTGCGGCCAACAGAGACACAAGGTACAGCAAACACTGGAAGAATGTTTCATTTACTCAGTGTGAAAAAAGTAAATGCGTAAAAAACTTGTGATGTGAGCCTTATACAGAAGTTTTATCTGCAAATTTTGACAGGTAAGAACCCACTTGATATCAAAAATTGAACAAGCAATCTACAAGTGACAAGGGCCTGCAAAAGCTTCCAAAGTACACTATGCACATTGACTATGTATTACCGTATTCCTTTGGACCAGACGGCCTTGTTCAGTTTGGTGTCTACGCGGACATCCGGAGTCCTCATCTGCTTCTCTGCAAACTTTTTGATTGCTTTGATGGCCCTGGGAGCACGCTTCTTGAACCCTCTGCATGGTGAAAGAGAGAGAGTGAGAGAGTGTGTGTGTGCATGTGTGAGGAGGGAGGGAGGGAGGGAGTGGGAGAGGAAAGGAGAGGGGTGAAAAGGTAAGAGGAAAAAGAGGAGAGAGGAAGAAGGAAAAGGGGAATAGAGCGGAAGGGGAAGGGGAAAACAAGAGAGAACGGTAAGGACTGGCTGAGGAAGAATCACACAGTCCGCAAGAAGGAAATAATTGCTCAAGATCATCAGACATTCCATGTCAAGGCCTCTTAGATTCAGAACAAACGACAACAACAGAATCAGAATCGAGAGCTGTTGGATGTGATAAGGCCTCAAAAACACATAACTGCTGGCCCCAAATAATTATCGCAGCAATGCACATGGTCTCAGATTGGCACAAACCTATCAACAGTGACAACAAAATGCCCACCCAAAGGTCTGTCTTATGAAACACATTCAGGTGGTAGTATTGGATTGGGCTTCTACCGTGCAAGCTATTCAGAGTTGTATGAGGAAAATGAGGATCGACGTATCAAAGGTTGTATGGCCAGTTTTCCAGCATACGTAATGACTTCCACTTTTCGAAAATACCATTCACACAGAAAAGCACTATTTTTTGTCCTCAAAACCATTCAATTGAGAACTTGCTCCTTTATAATACCCAGACCCTCCCTCTTACAAATAGTGGGCACTATATAGAATACAACACTGAACCACACAAATGGAGTCGAACGGTAGAGAAGAGCACTGTATGATACGTAATCTCACATTACCACAAGGTTTCTGGGGGTGACTTACATGCCGTGGATGTACTTGTGCAGGTGAATGGTGTACTCTCGAGTCACTACGTCCTTCAGCGCCGACCGACTCTTCTTGTCCGACTTTGGTGCCATCTAGAAAAACAGGACACACAGCGAGAGTCGCGTAATTCAGTTTAGACCCGTGATGTGGTTGTCGACGGATGAACAAAGATTTTACACTCACCTTCTCTTTGGCTAGCTAAACGTGGGTCGAGAAGTCTGTCGTATGCGCATGCGCTATTTCTATTACGAGCCCCACCCACTTTTTTTGCAGACTGACTCCAATTATCGCGCAGCATCTCTGCAGAAGAGGCGGCTATAGCCTAAGCCAGTGCGCCCCTCCGAAGATGGGCGAAGGAAAAGGCAGCAGGGAAGAGTCCGAACTCGTCCCGGGGCTCCTGCGCCACTGGCTGATTGGACGGGTGCTGGTTGCTGGGCTGGCTCTCGGCTGCTACGCCAACAGTTGCTGGGGAGACTTCGTGTTTGACGACAGCGAAGCAGTTATCAATAACCAAGACGTGGACCCAGGAGCTACCTCCCTGGCCGACGTCTTCTCCCACGACTTCTGGGGAACCAATATATCATCCAGAACGAGTCACAAGTCGTACAGACCGCTCACCGTCCTCTCGTTTCGTCTCAGTTTCTGGCTAGGCGGAGGGCGGAACCCTTTCCATTTCCACTTGGCCAACGTTTTACTGCACCCGCTTGTGTGCCTCCTGCTACTAGAGGTCCTCAATAACTGGTTCTGCCAGCTAAAAACCAGTTCCAAGCCTGTTTCTCGGGTGGATTGGCGAGCTCCCATATGCAGCAGTGAGGCACTGGTGGCCACACTTCTGTTTGCAGTCCACCCGATACACACAGAGAGTGTAAGTAGCCTATCTAGATGTCAGTCGAGCTAGAAAGCGGTATCTCTAATCCTCTACATAGGTGTCAGGAGTGGTAGGGAGAGCAGAACTGGCATCTGCACTTTTCTTCTTTTCCTCTATTCTCGCCTATCCATCCCCTACCTCCCAGGGTGAGTGAAATCCTACCCAACTATCGGAAAAATGTAAGGAGTGTGTTCTTTTTCATGGGTTGTGCAGGGGGAAGAGCAGTGGAAATTCTGAGGCTATTGCTGACACTAGTACTGGCTGGTTCTGCGATGCTCTTCAAGGAACAAGGGATCACAGCACTGGTATGAGCTTTATTAAATGCTTTATGCATGAACAAGGGTAGCGAAGTACAAAACTGCTAGTATCTGCTATTTTTTTCCCATAAGAATCTGGCACTGCATGGTAGATTGTTTCTTGGCCCAGATGCTCTATTTTCCATTATTGTAAATTGCACAAGGATTCCTTTACTGCCATTACGATGCTTTATTACAGGGTGTTTGCACTGTGAGTGATGTTCTTTTCCGTGCCAAGAAACTCCAAAAAGAATCTGGTGGACAGGCCAAGTGCCGAAGCCTGGTAAGAGTCCTAGTTTAACGATACCCTCCGTTAGTGCTATGGTTGCTGGGGAGACTTCGTATTCGACGACAGTTTCTGACATTTCGACCACAGCATGGTCCTCGTCAGTGGCACATAATGCGAAAGAGAGCTGGGCTGAAGAGTTGTTTCGACTTGCGTGTGTAGAATACAGAGAAAAGTATATATATGTAACAGGTTTCAATTTGCAGTGTACATGCTAGATTTGCTGTGTCATTTCCTTCATATCTCTCTTTCTCCTCACCAAGATCACTCCTTCTCTTCATCCCCCTCACTCACTTACTTCCTCAGCCATGGAGCTACTGGCGCCAGTGGTGTGATGGTGGGAGTGGGAGGAAACTGTGTTTACGGTCAGCAGTCCTGTGTGTGGGAGGGGCTGGACTGGTGTGGGGACGATTTGCTGTCATGACAACAGGGGCACCTCAATTTAAACCAATTGATAACCCGGCTTCGTTTTCAGACTCCTGGACTACAAAGGTACTTTATGCGAATGAAAAGCCCATACCAACAATATATCTCATTCCAATTAAACGACATATCCCATTAATTGGTGAACAAACCTAGGCCACCTTTTGGTTCAAATAATGACAACCACTATTGTAGCATGAGCCACAGAAATTTCACACTTAGTGTTGGTTCCCCGATAATGTATTTGTGTCATATACGTATAGGTGTGTAAGCACAGACATGGACAGCTTCTTCATCGGAAAACCTCAGAATTGTCTTGCTCCCTATCTCACGCCTTGTAGCTAGTACCATGAACAAATATGTATTTGAGCAGAGCGACATAGCTTATAGTATCATTCCCATGCCCCCAGGATATATCCCATTAGCACCAGGTTCAGTCATAGCAGGGACCTAGGCTGTATCTCACACAGTATTGGAAGGGATGTGTATAGGCACGTGAGCGCTGGCATGGATGACTTTATTCACTGGGTTACTTCGGATTAATTTATCTGCCTCGCTCCCGATCTCGCACCTAGTAGACTGAAAGAATGGTTACGAGTGGAAGAAAGGTAGAAAGGAAAGAAATCAAGTCTACCAGTGGAATTCGAACCCGCCACTTCTCACTGTCGACTGTCCTGCACAAAAATGGCTGGAATTTGCTCTGTAAATCACTTATTATACGCATTGGACAAGACTAAGTGCAGCAATAATTTAACTCTGTAGCTCCATCATAAATGAGCTGTTTAATGTGATTTCTAGTATTTGGTTGAGTCAACGAATGACTTACGACCTGTTCACATACACTGCACAGTGTAATTAACACACAAGCGAAGTGAATTCGACTCATACAACCCTACAAGTCCTCTCTGGTGTATTTGGTTGAGTCAATCAATGACTTATAGGGCCTGCTCTCATAATATGCTAATTAACACACACGTGTGGCAAATTGACTTTACGATTCCGCCGTAAGCTCTCTGGTGTATTTGGTTGAGTTCATGACTTGTACACTTTCTGCCTGTTCTCATACACAGGGCAATGTTCTAGTGAGGCAAATATGTCCATCATAATTAAGGTTCTCTGGAATTTGGATAATGCAATCAATGACGTGTGCAGTATGCATTCCTGTTCTTTACAATGGGCAATGTCATTATCAAATTGAAGAGTCATAAATCTTTGCAATTAAATTGCGTCCGCTGGGATTTGGTTGACTCTCTATATATTATACTACAGGCAATGTCTTGGACAGAAGTGTGGCAAATTAATCACCTACTTACGTATCGCGTCTCCATCTTTGTCCTAATTCAATTTTGGTTGTGAGTGATTCGTGAGTTGAGTGGTTGAGTAAGTTTTGACCAAGATTCCCTGTTTTTCTCGATAGATACTCTCATACAACTATCTGTACTCCCTCAACTGGTGGCTACTCTACCATCCGTGGTGGCTGTGCTTCGACTGGTCAATGGGCTGCGTCCCTCTCGTCCAGAGCGCGACAGATCTGAGGGTCGCTGCTGTTGCTGTATTCTGGGCTGGGTTGGGAGCTCTTGCCTTCCGTGGACTCTCAAGGTTTCACACAGGAGACGGCAGGTATGTAATTGACAGTTTGTTTGGGTCTACTGAGATTTATGCCGTGGAGTATTAACCGTCATGTGTACCATATAACCTATAACATTATCTCACTACGTAACCCTTTCTTTAAGACTCTTAAAATGCTCCACTCCATCCGCAGTTTAGATTGTGCTCGTTATTTGTGCTGCATATGCATGCACACTTGAAATAATATTGCTTACGACCAAAGGATTAGTTCATGTGTGTGCTAGATGTACAAAACAAAATCCTTCGAGCCAGATTCAAACCAGCGACCTATGGATGTCCACACCACTACAGTCCACCGCTCTACCAAAGGATGGCTGTGTGCAAGGCACCAATGATGCTTTTATCTTTTCCAGAGTTTAGCTCTCACTTTAAATTTGGCCGGGCAAATTTGATCCTGCGGAAAATCGGTGGAGTGTCCGTTGCTGGATGGCTGCCTGGGGAGTATGGTTTTATGTCAAAATCCTGCAGTCCAGTGTGCTTGCTTATCACTGTATCTATGTTTGTATAGCCTGTATATAGCCTTCAGCAATTGAAAGTCTAACACAAGGTGTTAACTTCTTACTAAAGTGGGAAGCCGTATTGGTGCTAAAGCAACAAAGCATTCCATGCTCTATTCATATAGCAGAGAGGTGGGTATGTTGAGTGTGTTTTTCAGGGCTGGCAAACGAAAAGTGAATGGTTGCATGAGGGCCCTACCCAGCAATAGATCCTTCAGAATGATAACATTCTTGCCAGCAGGTGAATGAGTTTATCACTACTGCCCATAGTAAGCATTGAGGCTGTCCATATTGACACCATTGACACATTGTGTATGCAACATATTAACTCATTATGTACGACTTATCATGACATATATACTAGAGGAACGCAACGCATTGTTGGCGAGCGAGAGCGGGAGCAGTTGAATATTTCGCATGCGTTTTGCGTGTATTTTAGAATCACGTAGAACATTACGGTAGTGACAGCGCCCGGCCGATAGTTATCAGAAAAATTCCCGCATTGAAATGACTAGCTAGCCTCGCTTCGTCCACTTATTAGCATTATGCGTAAGTGTCATGTCCTTCGCCCGTTTATTTCCTTCCCCTAGCCTACCCTTAATTCCTCCTTCCTTCCTCTAGCCTACTGTTAATTCCTGTGTGTCCTTCCTTCCCCTCAACCGTTCTCTCCCTCTCTTTCCCACTCTCGACACAGGCTTGTGATCCTGTCTCTGTCGCTCGTGGTGCTACCATTTCTCCCGGCCTCCAACCTCTTCTTCACCGTTGGATTCGTGGTGGCTGAGAGAGTGCTCTATCTCTCCACTGCTGGCCACTGTTTGCTGGTGGCCATTGGCGCTGCATACATTGGGGCCTTCTCATCTCTCACGAAAAGGGTGTGTTGGTATATACGTAGGGATGACACAGGTTATCCTGCATTATGCCCATACATTTGAGATTTGTATATGCTAGCTCACTCTCTCTCTCCTTCGCCTCAGTGTAGTCTGGTTAACAAAACTGTACACATGTAAATCGAGAGGGTATGTAGGCGCACTAGTTCATGGCAAGAGGTCGATAGGTACGTCTGACTGAATAACTCAACTGTCAAATCTCTCATATGGCTACAGTGATCACTATACCATGATCACTAGCACAAGTGTTACACACACGTTACGTACCTTCTAATCCTGAGTGATTCTCGTTCCCAACAGGTCGTGCAGGTTTTTCTGGTGTATCTTACGGTGTTTCTGGCTCTCAGATCTGTACACGTGAGCCATTACCACTGCATAGCTGGAAACTCCTGAGCAGAAAATCTTTCCAATAGTCTATGGCTCTATGCACAGCAAATGGTGCTTATTCCGTCCATACCAATGGTCCAGAACCATAAATCTTACGTAATATCTCTCACAGTTTTTCGTCAAACCATGAAAATCCCGAACACTTTTCTTCCCAAAAGTTTCCCGCTATGCAGTACTTTAGTAGACCTTTCAAAAGCAACTTATCTCGAGGTGTGTTATATTAAAACAGCGCAGCTCACAGTGGTTGAATGAGGAGTCACTCTTTATCTCTGGTCTTCACGTCTGCCCTCTCAATGCCAAGGTACATGTATGTAATGTAACACCTCCTAGGTTTGCGAAATCTTCCGGAATAACCCTGACCTAAAACATGATTGCATCCTCAAGATATGTAGTAGCAGCATTCACCACAAAAAACACTCCACAAGCTAAGAGAAAATTTGCGTCCTGCAGTATAAATTTTTCATCGATTTTACAAATGTATAGAGTTCGTACCATAGGTGCACTACAATGTAGGAAAAGTCTTAACAGACGCTGGCCTGGATGAACAAGGCGAAGTTGTTTATAAGGAAGCCATCAGGTATATACTTCACCCCTACTTTACACAGTGGTTGTTGGGTTTTGATTGTTACTGTATATACTTTGCAGATTATATCCAGAGTACGACCAAGCTTTGAACAACCTAGGAAATCTCGTAAAGGTAGGCAAACAGTTGTTTTTGCTCTGTGACTAAGTATAATAGGTAGTACAATATAGGGATGGTATTACATCATCATCACAGATGTATTGGGCTATGATAGGGAGTTCTGGTTTCTAGTGCACACTCCCTCCCCACGTACGTACATACACCTCACTGTGTCTGCCTATTTCTACAGGAGTCTAACAGACTAACTGAGGCAGAAATGTACCTCGAGAGAGCCCTAAAGCACAAGTGAGTCCTCCCTGTATATGTAATACACATAACTCCACCTAGTACTACCAACTGAAGTGTGTCACGTGAAGCTTTCGAGGGGAAAAGCTTTAGAGAAATTCGTTGCTCAATGATCAGCCACAAACGTTTTCTCGGGGAAAGTTTGTAAAAAGGCGGAGAGTTACTGTGCAGTGGGACGACCTACCAGTCTACAAACATTTTCTCCTCCATACATAATTATGTTATATACCAAACTCTTTCCCTCAAGAGTGTCACACTATAATTTGTACAATGTATGTATCAGAGGGAAACACTTTCTCAATTCATGCAAGTGGCTCAAAAATCTCATTAAAACTTGTCAAAATCAATTCTCGGGAAGTTCACTGACACTTCTCTCTCTCTCTCGAAATCATAATATTACGTGATACACATTGAAAGAGATGTGCATACCCCCTACACATGCAGCAACGAGTTTCCAGCCGCGTGGATGAATCTCGGGATAGTCCAAGCCGCTTTGAACAAGACACAAGTGAGTTAGGAGGACGGTGGGAGTTTTTTACAAGAAACTGCTAACCGAGTAATCTCATGTCCCCGTACAGTGATGGGGGCATGAACTCTGGTAGCGGAACACGTGTATGAACGCATGTAGCGTGTTTTAGAGATCTAAGTAGGAACTCTTTACGTCAATGATGTCACAGCGACATCCACAATGTCAGAAGGAGGTTGAGTGTTTGTTCATTAGCGGCCGGTAATGTCATAATGGATGCTGGTACAAATTTATAGATGTGCGTACACGGTGCCATGGGCGTTTTTATGTTAAGGAGAGGGCTTTGGCCTAGCCCCTTTGCATGATAAGCAGCTGTGGTGATCCACTTAGGCACGTGCCCACGTGGTCATTATTGGATTATTCGTCCTTCAGCTGTAGTCGCGACAAGTGCCTTCCAGTTCCGATGATGTCATTTATCGAGAAAGCCACTATAGCTATGGCCTGATTTGGTTGCAAAACTGGATTTGTTGAAATGACCGATGTAAAACTGCAACTAGCTCTAAGAAAGAGCCTTCTACATACTAATGTAAGGGCATAAGTGCTGGTACGGATAGCTTTCTATAATGTAGTAATGGTCTGGTCTTTGAGTGTGTGATGTGTAGAGATGAGCAGTTTGAAGCTTAGTCTTGCGCAATTTCAAGCAGCATATAAATTTGGTAAATGAATCCAACTACATATCCCTATCATAGCCCCATACATCTATGATGCTAGGTACCATGCCAATCCCTGTACTAAGTATATACTACCGTACTTAGTGGTAATCTTTGATGTATGCACCTGATATGGTGAGTCTCCAACGTAGAACTACTCAATAGAAGAGAAGCTAGCTTTAGCAGCAGATCAAAGCATTCTTGATAGAGAGTCTCCTTTATTCAGATGGACCCCTTATAAGGGGTATTCTACGTAGGTAAAGGTATAGTGCTGGATGAAATACTTTCTCCCCAGGCAGCAGAAGAGAGCTACAGGAAGGCCATTTCCCATCGTAGGAAGTACCCTGATGCATACTACAATATGGGGAACCTGGTGAGTGAACCTACCAAAGATGGCCGTCTGAATGTGCGATTTTTCCACGTGTAACGTATATGTACGCTGAGCACTGCACATACCATGATCTGTAGATGATTCCAAATACGCCCAATAACGCACGAAAAATTGAACTGCTCCCTAATACCCCTCCTTGTACATAGCCATGGTTTGTATAATCGTTTGTGCTTTATCTGGGCCTGTGTCCAATATGAACCATTACAATATCTCACTGCAGTACATAGACATGGAACTAGCGAGTGAGGCTATCTCAGCCTTCAGTAAGGCCATCAGTCTGGATCACTACCACGTCAATGCATGGACAAACCTCGGACTTCTCTACCAAGACCTCAGTCAGTGAAAATGTGTTTCTCCTCCATAAACCCACATGTAGCAGCTATTAGTTAGTGCGTAAATTCTCAAACTGAGTTACCCTAGTCTTAGTGAATTTGCTCTATATGTACCACTGTAATTGCATGAGTTAATGGCAGGGATCAGCAAAGTGCTAACTCTCCTATAGGCAGTTTATGAAGATTGATTAATCTTAAGGAGCAGCACTCCTTTCGTTTGGCTTTATGATTGCTTGACTAGGACTTTTGCATAGCGAGGCAAGCAGTCAACGGGCTCCCTTTCCGTGGAGATATACAAATTGCACAACGTGTTTCTCCCTAACAAAATTCGCTGCTACACAGGATCCAGGCTATAGTATAAACTTGTTGTGTGTACATAATACTGTATGACTGCACCATTCATCAAACTGTCGTCCTCCACAGACATGTACAAGGAGGCAGAGACGGTAACGAGAGAAGCCATGAGCATTATGCCTCACAAACCTTGCTTTTACTTCTCCCTCGGTGTCCTACTTGGGAGGCTACAGAGATTGGAGGTATTTCACAGAACGCACAAGCCCGCTCATGCATGATGCAACTACCGTACCTTCTAAGAGCTGGTTGTGGTATAGCACCTATTCACTGTTGCAAAGTTCAATCTCAGTGTGAATGTACTGGATATATGCCCCACTGCACAGGAAGGTGAAGAATACTTGGTCAAGGCTGTAGAAATGAGACCACACATTGCTAAGTACCACGTCAACCTAGGTAATTCCGAAACCTTGCGTGTTTTTCTGAGTTTCATCACTTACCGTGTGTCTCTTCTAGGTGTCATATATCACCTGCAGAAGAGGTATAAACAAGCTGAAAGTTGCTACCTTACTGCACTCCAATTAGAGCCCGGCATGCCCTCGGCAGAGGATAACCTGCGGAAACTCCACTCGACTCTTTCAAAACTCTCAAAGGAGCCTTAGGTTCCATTATTTTTTAGACACATCCAACCTCAGCAGTATTATGAAATTATTCCTACGAATGTTGGTAATTATAGTGCGACACCTAGGGTTTCACTCTTGAACCAATTAGGCAACTATGGGATTAGACAGTGTAGCTTCAAGTGGAACTGCCAGTTCATTGACGTTGGAAATGCCCAATCTCTTGAGCTCCGGATCAAGAACCAATGTGTGAACTATAGGGTTAGACAGTGTAGCTTCAGTGGAAAGTGGCCATACATGCAGTCCCTACACGACATCATGGAAATGATCGCCCCCGGGTAATTTGGTTCTGGACCAGTCTTACGGATCAAGAACTATGTTCTCATGTAAAGTAACTCAAAATTAATGATGGTGGATTATGCAAAGGCACAACAATACTGTTAACTACTGTTGTAGGTGTTTGACTTTCCATGTGCCAGAGTCAATCAGGAAGGAACCTACCCTTGCAATTTAGCAATTTCCTGATCTTTGGGTGCGGTGATTGCTGAAATCTAACAAGGTATGCATGTCTCTGTACAATATTGCAGTGGGCTGTAATTCCCCGCAAGCTGGGGAGGGTATAAAAAGCTGGACGCTGCGACAGGTAGATCATTCCAAGGTTCCAGTCAAAAAGCTACAGAGTTACCAACTGCAAAAATAGCTACCGGTGAAGTCACTCCAGAGGCATCAAGTATTCCAATAATGAATCGTCTGCTGGTAGTACTGGCTGTTCTCTGCTGCATCTCTGGCTATCTCTATAGCCAGCAAGCCAGAGCAGCAGTGGTGGCTTCAGCAGCAGGGAGTAGACCAGATATGTCTGTCAGGGACAAGAGGCACGCCAGTGGCGACCATCACCAGGACCCCAGGTGGAGACTGATATCTGCAATGCTTGTCCTCAAAGAATACTCTGCTGTCATGGTAAGCCTATACATCAGCATTGACCTACAGCTAGATTGAAGTTAAGCAAACAAAAGCTTGATGCAGACATGTTGCCAGAATACCTTTTGCCATGCTAGCACTTGTCTTGCCTTTCTGGAGTAGCTATATGTCATCGTTGGCCTTTCAGTTGTTTTTCTTGGAAAGGTTTTGTCAATGATAGAAGTTTCTGGTGTATAATTATTGTGATTTCTTAGCTGGGTAGCTACAAGACACATTATCTCTGCATCTAACAGACCAATCGCTATGATGAGAATGAAAGGCCTGCACTGCTCCACATCAACTCTGAGAGTGTGCTACTGAAGAACATACTGAGGAGGGTGTGCAACCTAGTGGCCTTTGACCAGCTCGCCATCAACATCAACGACACCACCGACAGTAGAGATTTCTACCCTCTTCTGTCAGAGATTATCACCGATGCCTGCGAATGGGTTAGCAGTATAATATTATTCTCTCGCTCAGAGTGAGCTATGTAGGTTAAAATTGACCAATCAGATTGCAAAGCTGCATTAGAACATTGCCAAGTGTTTCTGCACCCCATACTTTGTCAGTTGCAGTCACTGAACATTACAGTGTAGCCAATGGAGCATGATAGGATATGCCACCCTCCCCTGTTGTAAATACCTAGTTTGTTGGGTCGCTTTTTTCAGCTTTCAACCCAAGTAGAAATGAACCCCTCTCCTATTGCACCCACAATACAGAATGCCCCAATTGCTTCCATTCTCTACACTACAGTTGCAGTACATGGTTCGCCAAGGAGTCGCCATCACACCCGGTGAAAACTCAGACTTTTACAACAACTGCTCTGCCACCGGCGAAATGACCCTCCTCCATCACTTCTGCTACCGCATGAACATAGCCAACCTCATCGGCCTAGTAAACGTTGGAGACTTTGCTCTCCCCTCTTACATCACAGAGTATTACAGTGGTGAGTACCCACCGGTGGCCGGGGCGAACTTCACCAGGTGGCTGGACACCTCTGCCCTGCCTCTCAGCATCAGGAACTCCATCCATGAGAACACTGTCATTGCTCTCCTCCAGTACATCATCAGGACAAAGCTCTGACATTCCACAGTATAATAATGTACATGCCCTAGACGACGACAGTACAATGGATAAGACTATGTATTTTTAGCTCTTATAACACTAGCCCCTTTCATTTATATCTATGCCTTATATAGTAAACTCTGTAACTCTTGACTTGTTCAGGTTTGTTTCACATAAACATCATAAACGATAATACAGTACAATTAGCTACACACACACACAATAAAAATTTATTAGCCGACTAAGACGAAGGTTTGCACTTTAGTGCTTTTTCATTCTAACAGCATCTACTTTCTATCGCAAAATGGTGGATCGTGTCATTTGACTGGTGCAGAGGGACCCAGTCAGCTCCTGCTAGTTCAGGGCGTGCTGGGTGGCGTTGCGATTGGGATGTTGAGGTAGGTCAGCACCACAGGCAGCTCCAGAGTTTAACAGAGCGAGAGTCAACTGTTAGACTGAGAAAAACACACAGTACAGCACTATCAGGATGTGATGAGCACCAGCAGGAGTCTCAATAGATAGCCTGGGGGAAAGGCAAATACAGTAGAAACCATGATAGGGGACACCTTCAAGTGTCCTATCCTATATTCAGAGAATCAGAGGTTTGTCCACTTCAAAGTACACTAATTCCTTTTATAGAGAAGGTGGCCCTTTATCAGAAGTCCTTTTGAAGGGTTCACAGTCGAGGTAGTCCTGGCAGAAATACACTATAGGGTAGTAAACCAATAAGTTCAATGATACGCTCCTATTTTATGGGTTGCGTGACAAGCAAGAGTGTGAAAACTCCTTGCCCAGGATTAGTAAAGATCTACACCTCACCCCAGCGCAGGCTATACAGCTAGATCTCTGACTCCACAGGTTCTGTTCAACGTCTTCCTGTAGCCTTCGCAGTCACTCATCATCCCTCCTACTCCATCCTCGGCCATCCCTGGCTGCCGCAACTCCCTCTCACTCTCCTCACTGCGACGTCGTTTCAACTCCTGCTTCTCTCCAATCGCCTCCCCCTTCTTCCATCTCCTCCTCATCATCTTCACCTCCCTCGCTAACGGAATAAGACGCTTGTACAAATGAGTGGGTTAGTGTGTTTTTAGCTATAAAAGCACGGGAAGAAAACAGACTATCGTTAAATAGCACAGGAAAGTTCAAACGTCGTAAACAACGGGCGTACCACTCGTACATTTGGTGTTGTAAGTGGGTGAGTATAAAACCGAAGGTTGTTGTGGGTTGTGGGAAAGTGAGAATGTCAGCATTGAAGTGTAGAGAAGCGGTTACAACACTGATTTGGGTGGTAGGGTCTACAGTACATGCCTGTGTTCACACAACAGACCTTGTTTCCTTCCTGATTTTTCTTCCTCTATGCTCCGGCCTAGGCTGCGGCGTTCTTTCAACAATGACGCTATCACCGACCACAAAAACACACACACAAAATGCAAACGCGATTACCAAAAACTCGAGACTATATTATGATCTCACTATTTCGACATTCCTTGCACCTGCCCATCACACAGGTCCCGGCGACCGTGGCCAGATCTTTACGAGAGGGTTGTCTTTTAAGTCACCAGCGCCAGGGA